GGTAAAACTCATTTACTTTCAGGCTTATGTATTAGAGGGTCATGGAACAGAGGTATCATGTTGCACATGAAGTGTTTTGCACCTTGTTGAAGACTGAATAAGAGAACCTAAATAAGAATAGCTTGTGTAGGTAATACAAACCTATTTCCTGGGTGGGGGACGGAAAATGCCTTAAAGAGACTTAATAATACATGTTTTGAAGTTTAACTGAGACACAACAATCGTTATTTAGAGAACAATATTAAAGTTATCATCTCATATTTGCTTCATGATGAAGACAGGCTCCTTGCACATTCCAGATAGGTCACTCTCCCCCCTTTTCCACACTGTCCTTAAGCAAAGCCAAACAACTTGGAGAATATCTGATGCCTCCAGTATTTGTCCTGCAAGAGCTCTAGAAGCTTCTCTTCTTGTTAAAGCAGTTTCTTCTGCTGAAGAGTCAGTTCTTCAGAATTGTACATCTGAAGAATCAATTCTTTCTGAAAAAATCAATCAAGGTTGGCAAGCAGCTCTGGTACATTCATTTCCAGAAAATGCTGCCCACGGAAGGCTTCTTAGATTCCAGTTATAAGCAGATAAACACTGAGGCCATTTACAGTTTTTCAAGTAACCTTCCTTCATAATGGGGGCAGCACTTGGCTTTAGTATTTGCAGAACAAAGTGATGTTGATGTTGAAACATCATGCAGGGGAGGGCATTAATATCTGTGTTATGTACCCTCTCAACTGTAAGCTGACTCCTGTTGTCAGACATATAAGAGTAATACATAAAGGATTTCTGTGCTCAAAAAATGCAATGACAAACAGTTAATGAATCCTGAGTTCCTCTGTATCGAACAGTAAGGTCTATGGCAGGTTTTCAGTAATGTGTTCACTTGCCAGACAACATACAGAAGAAAGACAGATAGGATTAGTGTCAGAAAACTTAGCAAAAATAGCTGAAGTGATAAACTCAAACCTCCTGAAGCTGCTCATGAAGTAGCATAGGAAATGTGGGTGCTGTTGAGCATGCTGACTAACCCATGCTGTTGCCAAAACAAATGGAAGACAACTGTAATGGCTTTAGAGGTGGGAGGGAAAATGCTTGTTTAGACAGTGACAACCAGACATCAATGCCGTCCTGTCTGCAAGCTCTTCTCTAGTTGCACAAGACCCAGGAAGTGTATCTGGGGATCAGGAAGCTAGAGCTGCTGGATCTTCAGTTCTCAGAGTGCTCCATCCCTGCAGAACTGAAAAGCAATGATGTGGGAGATCCCTCCAAAAGAAGTGACTGCCAGAGGAGGAAACACCCAGAATATCAGCCCACGGATTTAAAGAAAAAGCACCGCAAGACAGAAAGAACTCACTCCCAAACCAGTGTTCTCTATTCACAAAAACTCAATGAGCCCATTTTTCAGGTTCTGCTAGCTACAGTTTAACTGTGGTCTCTTTGGAAGCATGTTATCTTGTCTTTTAGGCTGCTTTGAAGCACCGTGTGTCATAATTCCCTTTGAAAAAACAGGGTATTAAACTAAAGCAATTAACAATCTGAAAAATAGTCACTCTACTTAAACTCCCACTGCAACTGCTTAAAAGATAATCTCTTAAAACAAGTCAGATAATAAGCCTGCACAACAGGGCTGACTTCTATAGCAAATACACACATAGGGTAACATTGTAATAATGCCAGACGAATAATGCTGAAGTACAACACTGGGTGAAAACTGGTTCATACAAATCAGACTGGTTTTGTCTAAATAAACCATTGTTGCCTTTTCCCTGCTCTTCATTATTAGGTGGCTCAAGCCTTCAGCCTGTGCTGGATACAAGTTGTGGCTGACCTAGTTGCAGACCAGTTAAGTCAGGAGGGTAGCTCTGATTCAATCACCTGCTCAGTGCAGGGTCAGTGACACCAGAGTCGCGAGTATCTTGAGGGATCACAACCTTTCTGAGTAACCTGCTCCTGTCTGTGACCACTCTCAGAGCAAAACAATGTCTTGTTTGAATGGGATTTCCTATGTGTCAATTTGGGTCAGTTGCCGCTTGTCCTGCCACTGGGCACCACTGAGAAGGGTCTGCCTTCATGGCCGCCTTACTTTGCATCAGGTATTGATACCTGAGCTCTCTCCAAACTGAGGAGTCCCAGATCAATCAGCTTCTTCCATATGACGGATCTCCAGTCCTTTAACTCTCTTTGTGGCCTACTGTAGGTCTATGTCTCTCTCATGCTGGACCCAGCACACCAGACGTACCTCACCAGGGCTGGTTTTAAAGAGGGTCACCTACCTTGACCTGCTGGCAACGCAGCCCAAGGTGCTGTTGGCCACCTTTGCAGCAATTGCTGCCTCATGTTTAACTTGGTGTCCAACAGGACTCCCAGGACCTTGTCTGCAAAGCTGATTCCCAGTGGGTTGGCCCCCACCATGTCCCAGTGCCCGGGGTTGTTCCTCCACTGCTGAAATTCATGTGGTTCCCGCCAGCCCATTTCTCCAGCCTGTCAAGATCCCTTTGAGTGGCACAGGAAAATCATTCTGGGAGTGTTCCTGTGCCATTTCTGAGATTTTAAGGGCTGCTACTCATTTGCCTATCCTTATCTCTAGGACTAACAATTACTACTTCCATGAATGCCAATTAATTCTTATAATTAAAAAAAATCAAAAAAGGTACTGGCCCTGTGCTGCAGCTCATAACGGGACAGCATTCCAATTGCTGCAGACATAGGATTCTTTAGATGGGAAGATTATGGCTTGGATGCCAACACAGACATACAGACAAGAAGTTTTCTTGTATAGAGTTCCAACAACAGACTAGACACTGTATTAGCTTTCATTGAACAAAACTTCTTTTCACATAGAATTTTTCAGTACTGATTACGTTAATAAAGTTCTAATCTCATTATATTCCATCCTGATGAATCTTGAAATTTGAGCATGCCCTTCTGCAGCATGGCTAAGGGCCAGGCTGTAATTTTGCCATGTGAAAGGAAGACACAGGAGTCTCAGGAGCAGTGGGAGAAGTCTGATATTAAGTAATAACATATTAGCAAAGGCTGCTGTGCTGATATGATATTTAATTGCCACCTTTTTCGGCGTGGGGTCGGGTGTGTTTCTGACTGACACAACTGATTTTGATATAGGGGACTAAAGACTATGGATGAAGGCCATATCTTTGGTACAATTAGGCAGCACTAGATGTGCAGAATATAATTGGGAGCTACGAAGAGATGAACAAACAAGAACCAGGCACACACATATGTGCCCTTCACATATATACATACCGCCATGCTTCTTTCTTAAAATAACAGGAATACCTTATGCTACTGTTTACTGCAATGACGTTCAAGGCTTTTGGGTAAAACCTGTGTTACAATGGTGTCTTTCTTGTCGTTTTACTTGTATTTTGCTGCTTTTTTCCTGAATATGGAGGGACTTGAGGAAATGTAACTTTTAATCGCATCCTTGAAACGGAATATATCACTGAAAAGCAGAGGGCAGTACTGCACATAGGCAATGTGTGTATCTGAGCAAGTTGTGGCTTGTGTCTGTAACACTGAATGAGGGAGCTCTTTTGTTGAACATATGTCAAAGTACCCTGATGCCTCATGTAGAAAATATTGATGAAAATGCATCTGAGAGAGAACATGCAAGAACAAAACAACATCTTACATCAATTTATTTGTGGTATTTTAATACCAAGTTAATGCATTTCTCAAGTAAAAATTTAGAAATTGGTTATTTATAGAAAAAAAATAAATCACAGCTTCACAAAAAGCTAATTTTCAACAGTTTGTCCCCTTCCTGCCAACATGCAGTTTACAATATAGTTCAACTATGTTGGTAGAAAGTTAACAGTGGTGTGAAATTCTTAAAAATATTTGCAACAGCAATTGAAAACAAAATTATGATTTTTACTCAGTGAAAAACTAACAGGAATTGTGTTTCCCAGTAAAAGATAAGTCATAAAAGCAGCAAACCCCCCCTCTCCTGCTTACTATGTGCTACCTTTCCCCCTGCCACATACACCGTCAACAAAGGCAAAACTTCAACATCAGTCATTCCCAGATTCAATACTTTGTTGCTTTTGGCAAGAGGTCATACTTGGAAGTCCACTGCTTGAGATGTGTGCTGCTCTCACCCTATGTGCTCCAAAAGCTGCTGTTACTCCTGTCCCTTAGGGTGAGGTGGGATCAGCAACAGCTCAGAGTAAAGGTAAGGAGTATAAGGATTTTCATGTTTTTTTTTCACTCTTTCTCTCTAATAAAAACTGGGAAACCCAGAAATTTCAGTTAGAATCACAGAATCATAGAATGGTTGGGGTTGGAAGGAACCTTAAAGATCATCTAGTTCCAACCTCCCTGCCACAGGCAGGAATCCTCCACTAGAGCTGTAACTTCTTGGCATGCATCTGTGTGCAAGAAAGGTAGGAAACCAATGGGAAATCCACAGAAAGCTGGAGGAGCTGAACAGAGAAACCTCACATTTGAGTATTTACAGGAGATGCAGGGTTTCAATGAAGTTGTTACATTTTCACCTGTGCACAAAAATTCCCTCTGTTAAATTTATACATGCAACCACAGGATGAAAACTGTTCCTTCTCTACCTTTTGAATTAAAAGTCACATTTTCAAAGGTCATTGCACTTGGTAATAGAAAGGCAATTATGCATTTTACATTAAATATATTATACAGACCTGAACTTCTGTGCAATCCATTGCTTCAGACACATGTATATTTAACATCTTTTAAAAAACTAAGCCTCTAAGCATAGTTTAACAAAGAAAAAATGAACTTTGCTAAAGACTATTTCTTTTTAAAGACAAAACTCTTTAAGAACAAACACAGAGAGAAATGCTCCCTTTGACTCCTAGTGCATTTAAACACTTCTTTGAAATTCTTTGTGTTGTTCCCACATTTAACCTTGCTATCATTCTATACTGATCTGATGATACTAGACAAGGACACATTTTCTCTGACCTAACCAGTGAGGCTGGCATTTGTCATGCTGTTGGTACAAACAGGAAAGCTGAAGATAAAATGATTTATTGCCTCACTCTTTTACCTGTGGAGGACAAAAAGTTTCAAAGGGGATGCAACTCAATTGTCATGCACACTGCCCGTGAATGCCAGTGGCCCATTTCAGGTGTTAAGTGCACTTTAGGTTGCCCCAGCAAATTTTGCAACAACTTGCTATTAAAACTATGGATGTGAAAACTGAAAGGGAGATTTTGGTCCCTGAGATACTACTAAATGAGACCAAGAACTAAAGCACTAATACTTAATTTGAAGTGGACCCTCTTTAAGGAAAACTAAGTTAGCTTCAACTTTCAAAAGTTTAGTGAATAGTCACTAAAATATCCTTAAGCAGGATGACAGAATATATGCAGTATTGATCAACAGAAGTGCATTTACACAGTAGTTTTAAGTTACCAGTTGGGCTGAGGGCCAAGAAGCTGTCCTATCAACATGACATATCAAATTTGTCTTTCCATCTAACAGAAAAGCGCAAGAATGTAAAACATGGCCTTAACAAAAACACCTACTTACTCCTACCTCTTTTAAAGGAACAGCTACAGGAACTACTGTCTTAAATACTCATAAGGGGTAAACTGACTACCTACAGAAGCCAAAACAAACTTTTAAACTTTGTAATTGATCGTTTCAACAGTACTTTGTGGAAAACATCAGCAACCTCTTCATCGCCAAACTGGTGGCGGTGTGCAACAGGTAATACTTTTTGAGCTAGTGTTTAAAAGGTTTGTAGCACTGAAGGTGTTCCAGACCAGTGGTCGCTACAATGGAAAATCTTTGGCAACCACAGACATATAAAAGGTAATTCACAGCAGCTGGAAGAATTGCTGTGATGTTTACAAAGTTCTTTAGTGCATCATTAACCTTCTGCAGTGTGCTGTATAAAGAATCAAAACCCTGAAAGGACAGCTAAACATCTGACATTACTCACAAGTTGCAGTGTTTTTTGTACCCACTTTCTCAAAGCTAGGCCTTGTGAAATTTTAGAGGATGATGTAAGATAGTCGATGCAAAGGCCTCCAGTGCAGTTGGAGTTGACGGGGAAGGGAGCAGAGCAATGAAGGGCTGAAGACTTATGTTTCAGTGTACCACGGGGATATTACTCAGAGAATGGCAACAGATGGATTCATGAGTGGATTTAGTCATACAAACAGTATAATCCCACTGGTGGTGGAATCTCTTCAGACAACAAAACAAAAAGAAACAAAAAAAAAAAATCAGCTGCATCCAGAGAGTCCGCTAAGTGGTCTCAATTACCATTACCTTAAACAAGAAAGAACATGCATCAGTAACACAGAATTTATTCTAAAACATTAAGAACACTCTAACACAGCTGAGCTATAAGAAGAATTCGGTATAATAACGTTTTATTTTCCAATTAATGCAATTATAAATTAGATGTATCTTGTGACATCAGATACATCGGTGGGTAAATTTTTAACAAGTACAAGAATTGACAGAAGGTACTCTAAGCTTATTTTTTTTCCTGAATATGAGCTCAGCTTTCCAAAATTTGGGAACTATTATTGCAACTAAGGCTTCTTTAAGGACCCTTCCAACTCGAACCATTCTGTGATTCTATGAATGCAGTAAGTTTAAGTCTATGAACCTGCAGAACTGCATAGACTGTTGCTATGTTGTTGCATAGCTGTTGCTATGTTGCACATAGCTGTTGCTATGTGGAAACTAGCATGCAATTTGGCAGTAACTATCACAGCACAAGAAACTAAAAAGGAAAAACAGAATCTTTAAAAATAACCCTAAAGGGTATTTAAGCAGGAATAATGTAGTATTATTATCAGCACTGACACCTTGTTCTGTGACAATAAAGTCAAAGAACTTTCTACCCCAGATGTCACATAAGATCTTGTACATAGCCAGTCTCCACTTACACCTCACTTGAGAGATGTCAATTTAAGCATGCAAAGGCATTTCTTTTTAGTCTAATAAAATATAGCATAACTTTCAGTTAACTCCCACCCCCAAAAAAGGTACAGCTATAGCTCTCAGATGTCCACTTCCAAAACTACTGTGAAAAAACCTAACAATCTTAGCATAAGGACTCCAGTTGATACATACAACTTGCTTTAATAGTGAAATAAAACAAAACATTGGCCATTTCTCCCCTGGGAGAGAAGAAGAAAGAATATCATAAAGTAAGGTACAAGTAAATGAGCCAATTTTGATGAAATCATGAAATGTTAACATGAAATGCAGTATTCTTCATTTTCAGTCATCAGGTGCTGCATGAAAAGACAGTTAGTTTAGCCATTCTGTAAACGGGTTTTTCCCACGTTAGTGCTCTCTGTTCTGCCACAGCAGATTCTTCCTTCACATTTCAGTAACTGTTAAATCATGCCGCTGCCCTACAGAGACACGCTCAACAACAACAGCACTGTTGCCATGCAAGACTTACTGCTGTTTCAGCACATGAAGGATGAATTCAATCCTCAGTAGGTTCAATCCTCAAACCTACTAAACTGATGACTGCGTTGGAGATCCAGTGTTTCATTAAAAGATAAAAAAATAACAAATTAATTAATGGCGCTCCTGTAGCGAATTAGAAGGCAAGCCTGGTCAGCTAGATCCAGCTTTTAAAAGCAAAAGGATATTTACCAGAGCAGGGGAAACAGCCCTGCTCCAACCAGCAACACAAATTCTGTTTATCATGTTCTACCCTAAGACACAGCTGAGCAAAACTACAACCTCTACACAGCATCACTGGTGGTATTCCTTTTTAGACATAATTTTTAAAACAATTCAGAGCTGGAAATTTCTGGCAACTTCTCCTGTCCCCAAGCTTACCATGTAAATAATATAGCAATATACTGGTATATAAAGTAACTGTAGTGGTGTATATAATAATTATATATATACATCTTTTATCAATTTACTGTTATTAAGTTATTGTTATCTGAACACATCTGCAAAAATGGGTTCTGAAGGCTAGAGTGACTTGATATGAGTATGGCTTCCACTTGTGAGTCAGAAAGGCGTTGATCAGCTCAGGGAAGGGAGAAAAAACAAAAGTTTATGCATTCCAGCAGTTCAAGTTTAGATATTTATATGCAGGTTACTGATTAATTGTTTTAAAAAAGCAATAAACTCAGAATTTAAATTGCTTATCTGCCCACTTAACATTGAACTTATTATTTTAGGTATCCTCCATGTGGTGAAGACCCTGACCTCGAATTAATATTCAAACTGCTGAGTTCAGCTTGTTAAAAATTTACCCACTATTCACAGCTGGTTTTATTTTATTTTTCATAATCAGACTGTTCTCATTCACAGACACATTCCACAGTTAGTAAATCAATGTCAATCCATTTGTTCAGCTTGATTTTTGCCTAGCATTTGTTTAGTTTGTTTTTAGTTCTCCTACAAGCTCAGACAGTCTCTTCCATGCAAGAAAAATGACAATTGAACAGTTAATTCAGGCTGAATGCATAGAAACAAAATACAAACACATCATCACAGGAGCATGCTAGAGTCCTCAATTGTCTGCTTAATTAACAGTCCCTCCACCCCATCCCGCCAAAACCGAAACAAAGAAATAAAACTAAACCACCCCCCCAAAAAGCTTACTAAGCAGCAACAATGACTATACTGTAAAATATTTTATTTGTAATGAAATTATGAAACACAACAACAAAAAACAAATGACGTCACCATATAAACTTCCTTTTCTTACCATAAGAATTTCTTAATGAAATATCTTACTTCTGGCATAAGTAACTAACACTGCCATCCATATTAAGAACTTTTAACATAAAACACATTAATAGGTTGAAGATGCATCTTCATTGCATATGCACACAGTTCCTTTCCCCAGTTTTGCAGATAGGCCTTTTAGGGTCTCTTCTGTTTACACAAATTGAATTAATTTATCCATCGAGAGCAAAGTACAAAAAGTATATTGTATAGATTTAGTAGATGAGGATTTCTAGCCATACAATAGTTTCAAGGGGATGAGAAAAATGAAAGAGGTACTTGAAGCCTTTCAAGGACAGAGGAGAAGTTTTCATTTTATTTGAACAAGAGCCTCAAAATGATTTTAAATGTTATGAGAAGAAATACAGGATAAAGGATGGAACCTTATTCTAACTGCAGTGCACACTGTAATTCAGGCAGTGCAAAACTCTGCTCCAACCTATACGCCTTTTATAAACTGTACGGTCCACATAGCTAGACAAACGGAAGGAAGAGTTCAAGGTTTCATGTGCATCAACAGCTAAGAATTTCATGGCACATGAGGATGAATTTGGCATTCCCTTGGTTCCCGTAGGTATCTACTTCACACCCTCAAACACTCGTGTGCATGAACAACAAAAAGCATCATTTTTGCTAAAAATAAATAGATGGAATACAAAAACCCCCAACACTTGATCTAGTGTAGATAGCTTTTAAAAGGTTCTAGTTCAAACAATAACTAACCTGAGATGTACTTTGCTCCGATTAACATTATCATGCTACTCATAATATAAAGACCCAAAGGCAGACTAGAGAAGATACTACTGTCACCTGATGTCATCCAGGGTAGGGTGTATCCAGTCAAGCAAATCAAAAGAGAAATATATATACATAAATTGCAATGTATGTGTTAGAAATCATACGAACAGCAAAACGTAATAAATGTAGTGACATTTGCAGAAAAACTAAAAAGGATTATTTATACTCCCCACAATAACTCAAAACAGTCTCTCAGTATAAAAGTTGAAATCTAAATTCCATTGTTAGCACTACCTAGGTTGAGCCCATTTTAATAGTCTTCAATGTTCAATACTCTCAGCAAGCAGAAGACAGTTTCAAAGGAAGAACTAAGGAAAATAACATTTCCCATAGAGTTAAATGAAATGCTTAAGCCAACATATAGGATGGTGAAAGGAAAATTTTAGCTTTAGCTTTCAAGAATATAAGAAAGAGAATTCATGCAGCATGAGATCTTCATCTGTGGATTGTGGGGGGACTTTACATTTTGAGGATTCTTTACTTAACACTTTTCATTCTAACAGGTTTTCCAACAAAAGGGAAATTAAATTAAGATAAAGCCATAAATGATGTGTTGTAGGATGATTCAGGACAAAATCTTATCCTGAAATAGTGCTGAAATATAAATTCAAATTATAGATAATAGAAGACTGCAGGTTTTATTTAATTCAAACCTGGCAGATGAAAACCCTGTCTACTTCCAAAGAAAGAACTTGTTCAGTCCCTCAAAAGTGTTTGGTATATTCTCTGTGTGTGAATAACAGGACTATGCAATTTTTCACTTTATGACAACTTCTTGCTCTTAGGCCTTCTGGGGCAAACAGATTTTGATGTGGCTATCAATCCCTCCTTCCCACACAGCAAATAATAAAGGCAGGATATATCAAGAAAAATCACAGGATGAACCTTTTCTCCTTTGCAACACGATGATTTAGTGTAAGAAAGTTTACAGAATCCCTACACTGTCTTGGAATTGTGCTGCATCTCTCATTCTAGGTCACTTTTTTTTTCTTTTGTAAATCAGTGCCATTCTGCAAAATCTGTAGTTAGTCTTGATTTCATGTCCTCTGTTTTCAGAGCCCTACAAGATATTGCTTGTGCTCTCCTTTCAAGAAAAAGACCTACCTATCAATTTTCCTGCTTTGCTTGTGCAGTGGTTTTAAGTAGTAATTTTAAAATCACTGGAATAGTCCAAAAATACCATAGAGATGGTACGAACAGAAACAGCCACCAGAATGAAGATTAACTACCAAGGTTAATAGGCTAATTAAATAATACTTGACTAGCATTAATTTCTGGTTTACCATTTGAAGAAATGTCAGATGTCACCCAGTCCATAGATTTCATCACAGCTTTCTTCCATCTGGCAAAGCGAAACTCACTTTCTGAAATTGAGAAATCAGCAAACAGAAAAGCCTCTCAATGCATATAAATACAACTAGAAGTATTTAAGAATCAAAGACTACAATATTAGTTTTCCACTCTTTTGCACAGTATAGTTTGTCTGTATAGAACAATAATGAATAAAAAAACAAAAACAAAACAACCCAAAGCCCCCCAGTTATGTACAGTAAGGAGAAATAAACCTTAAAACCCATTATCTGCATTTTCACATTAAGAAGATTTACAAGTAGGACAAAATGAAGCAATTGCTATTCATGCAGAAGTCTTTCAGTGTTGAAAAAACTGTCTTGAAGTAGGGATTATAGCAGTAATGATAATCAATGATAAGACAAAATTCTGCACTAGAAGTTAAGAAATAATTTAAAAAGACAAAAATGCATTTGTCTTGCACACTGATTAATTATGTCAAGTACATGCTTTCCATCTCTAGAAGCACTTACGAACTGATGAAGAAGACAGTTAGCTAAAAAATAACGATTAATGTAGGCTTTTTAAAGCCAAAAGAAAAGTGTCCCACAACCAGTAAAAACTCACAGAGGTACAGGAGCTTTAGGAGACATCTTTCTCCATAAAAACCTTTCAAACCTTCAAAACCTTTAATTCTACTTGCTATAAATCAAAAGCTACTAACTCCAATGCCCAATGCCAAGCTTTTTCAAAATAAAGAAATAGAAAACCCCAACATATTCCCCTGTGGAGTTATGTTATTTTAATCATTTTGCAATCTTGATAGTCAATAAAGGGACATAACCGCAACTGAAACACACTTTTCTCTAAACTGAACACTACAAAAAAGCTCATCTTTAACATTTGTGAGGATATTCATATATAGCTGGTTTTGTATCAGTATGTTAGATTGTAACAAAGAAAAAAACATGATCTGCTGGACACAGAACATGAAGTTTGTGACTTCTTAGGTAATATGAAAGGATTTTACCCTCTGGGTTGATCTGTGGCTCAAATCGTTCACATGTCACTGCTGTCAAATCTCCAGGATTCAGACTCCAAATTCCAACTCCTTCTGCAGCTCCTGCTGCCATAGCAGCTCCTAGAGCTGTTGTTTCAGGCATTGATGGCTTTACTGAAGTAAATCACAGAGAAAGGCATGAAGATTTTTAATGAAAGTCACCTTGATGACATTGAAACTAAAGATTTACATATGTATCTAGAACGATATAGCAGCTATATGCTTACTTTAAGTTTAGCAACTGCAAGCCTCATTTTATTACAATTCACACGGTTACGAGGCTAACTTCATCCAAAGTCGTCCAAGTCTTTGAAATATCTCAGATCACTACTTCATTTAAGACTGAATCATCCAATTGCCCATTTTCACAACACATGCAGGGCTGCTGACCTCAGCCATCAGTTTCCCTAGAGTGCTCCTGTTAAAAATACACTATCTTTTTATCTTCTCCCTCCCTTCTCAAAGCAGTGGTCACTGGCTGTTACCAGTCTTGTTCCCATGTTCTAGATATTGTGTTATTAAAAGCATATATATTAAGAAAAGGCATCTTAAAAGAGGCTACAAATTGCTGTATTACTAGCTTGTTTGCCTTCCACAGATATGACCATCCCACCCCCAAGAAGTCAATGTTAACTCTGTTCCATTAACTCCAGAACTGCCTGCTTCTCTGCTTAAGGCAGAGGGGATCCTTTAAAATCTGATTCTATTGATTGTATCATTTCATCTGCTATGAACTATGGCTCTGCACGGACAGCATGAGCCTTGTGTATTACATATTATTAAAGGCAAGCTATAATACTTCTAGAGTTAAAAACTTCCCCATGAAGTGTCTCACATTTATGCGTAACAGACAACACAATGGTTTTTAAATTATTTTCTAGAAGCTGCATATGAGGCAGATTATTACATTTATGAAGCAAATTATCAGTCTTCAGTACAAAGATGAATAATATCCTGATGTTACTGTGCAATGTCCTAATGTGCAGTGACATATTAGCCATGACATATCAATGTTTTTTTCAGCTTTAAAAAGTGAATAGGAGTTGTAATTTCATCTTACCTACTGGAATACAGAGAATGTCTGATTGGAGTTGCATGAGGACTTTATTATTGGTCATTCCTCCGTCTACCTGTAACTGATTTAGTGGTACCCCACAGTCCTTGTTTATGGCATCTAAAAGCTTGAGTAAAAGTAATATATGTTATTATTTAATTGCAGAGAAATCTATGATACCCTCTGAGTGTAAAATACTGATAATTCAGCATTTGCTGAAGGGTGTTAAGTAGACAATTCCTCTCCCCTATAGATCAAAAGGGCAAAAAGAGGTAGTGATGATACAGTTTTGCTTAATGTACAGCAAATGCATTCTGTGTATTACAGAAGTCCTAATGTATGAGATGTTTCTCCTCTGATCCTCTTTATCTACCCAATGTGCTGCTTATATGGTCTGAGAAGAAAAACTTTGAAGAAAAGCTGATGACAACTACATTTATCAAAGCTAACAAAGGAGGAAGTAATACTAAATGCAGTCCTTTAGCTGATTGCAGTTTGTCTAAATACTTTATCTAATTTGGTGCATTAAAGAGTTGAAAAACTAAAATGTTTGAACTGGCAATCTGGAAGACATTCAATAGGAACCGCTGAATGTTGAACTGTTTTGACAGAGCAGCCTCTTGAAATATTTTCAATTAGTTGCTGAAAATTGAGAATCTTACATTACACAAGATAGACTGCAACTGTTGGTTTAATTTTTTGGTAAAATAATGTTTCCTTCTTTTGGGCACAATGGATAGCTGAAAATACATGAAAATTGTTAAAGTCTTTGCAAGGGAAAAGTAATTAAGAGTGGAGTATTTTTAAAAAAGAACCAAAAAATTGTTAGGTAGTAAAAACTATACAGAGATGAGTTGTCCAGACTCTATCCATTCCAGAAAGTAAGTTAGCAAGGTCCCTTACCAGAAAATCTTTAAAGGAACTAAAAGAACTGCCACAAGATAAATAATGGTTAAAAATCAGAAGCCTAAGGCCAGTTTTCATGGTGGAGGCATCTGTCCATGGGCCTGCACTGTTCAATAAATTAGAAATAACCTGGAAAAGACAATTCACAGCACAGCAGCAAAGTCTGCTGGCAGTACTAAGCTAATCATGCTCCCTGTCACTGATTCCCTTCACATGTATGATTTCATATTTGTCTAGCCTGATTTTGCCTGCCTTTTTTAACATTCAAAACATCATTAGCCCCTCATAATCTCAGCTTTACATACATATAGTATTGGAGGTTCTGGCTTTGGTTACCACTGTGCAAAAGCATGTTGAATCATACTATGCACTCAATATAGATTAAAAAGAAAGAAAAGAATGCTAGAAATCAGGAAGGGATGAAACAACAAAACAAATCATGATCATGCTGCTGCTGTTTCTTTTGTAATGAAGTAGGATGAAGACTATGGTATCCACTTATGTAAGTTTTTTCTAATGACAGCATTGTACAGCTCTTAGAACTGAAAAATTGCTTGTTTTTCCATAATGCATTCTGTAATTAAAAAATGTAACAAGTGTCATCTGTCTGCACAAGGAAGAAGCTTTCTGGATAACAAGAAAAAGAGACTTGGAAGAATTGGATGGCACAATAAAACAATCGAGAACTGCAATGAACATGAAATTTGAGGGTTTTCCTCAAGGATACAAAGGATTTCCATTTTAACCGGAATTAAAACAAAACCCTTTGTCTCTGACAAGACAGAACTAACAATACATTTCTGAAAAATGTACATATATTTTATTTGTGTCACTAGGACTGAATTTGTTAATTTAAGTGTGTCCAGAGACCTGCTCAGGCATTCCTGTCATTGTGATAAAAGTACATTGACTAAAGTATGAGGAAGTATTAGGTCTGTTCAAACAGTTAATGTCACCCTCAGCCAGTCAGCTTTATTCCCCTCCCTCCTACTCCCAGTGACATGCCCGGTCTCTTGTTCCGACATTTGCTGCTCTCCTCTGCAAGGCAGCTGAGACCAGTAATCCAGCAGAAAAACAGCCCAGCAGAAATAGGGATCATTTCTGCTGGAAAGTTCACTGAGCTGTCACATGAGAGGGAATGAATGAGAGGAGGGACAAGGAAAGGGAGGAGAACGCAACAAAACAGACTATCAGTTCAGTTTACTGTAACTTTACCCTGACTTACACCACCAAACTCCTTCACAACTTTCTGAGTACTCAGAGGTTGTTAGCACAGCTTAAAAAGCAGACATTTAGGTGAAACTTCTGGCTTTTTCCACATGAGTACTTTTTACTCTATGTCACTACAGAAACAGCAAGCTGCTTTCCTCCTCTCACACAGTGTTAGCTGAGTGTTACTTTAAAAACTTGGTATGTTTAAATAACAGCAGGTTAAAAACATGCAATGAAATTCAGGTTTGACTGTTACCCTTTAGGGTCAAGGGATTTCTCCTGTGTTTGACTGGAATACAGGAAGTGTAAATTGATAGTAGATGGTGATATAAAGATTCTAATGATCAGAACACACTGATATCAAACCCTTTGATTCAGTTGGAGGATTTATTTCTTCCGTGACAATTTAGGTTTGCTGTTGCAGAATGCCTGCTGAGGCAATGCAAGATGTAACAGGTATGAAGTGAATCCAGATTTCCATTGGTATGTGTGCTGCTGTCTTGCTTTAACTTATTTTTGTTACTGTATGCCAGAAGCAACGTAAGCCATCTCCGTCACAGCAAACAATATAAAATGTAGTCTTTTACATTAATGTGACTTCTTAGTTATGGCACTGGCCTTGTCATTTTAATGTTTCTATGTTCTACTTCTCAAAATATTTGCAAAGTAGAATCACCTTAAGTGCTGAAAAATAGCAGCATTGCCACCCCAAAATAATGCACCACCCAACTACACCACAGAATAAGACCACAGAACAATTTTTCAACATCAGCACCACGTAAAGAGAAGACTAGCATCCAAGTACAATATAAAGCATATGATTAATCTTCATTAAATGTTTTCAATCCTCTCTCTTCCTGAAGAACTATAGTTGCTGTTAACACACTAATTTACAATGCATTTAGGACCCAATTTGCCTTTACCTCTCGTGTTTGAAAGCAAACCGCTTCTAGCGCAGCGAAGGCAATGTGGTTTTTATTTGTAAACTGAGTAAGGCCACAGATAATACTGTTGAGAAAAAAAAAAAACAACAACCAGTTAGGACATACTTCTTCTCCAGACATATATCATTACTTCAGGTCTAGGTCTTCTAATTCAAAGCTCATTCAGTTCTATCGTATGAGCACTACTTTTTAATATTAGCAAGCTTGTTTATCTTTAATCAAAAATCTCATCACTATTTTCCTGACAAATGTGTTCAGTGGCCAATCAATACAACTGCCATAAATTAATTTTTTTTTGCCAATCTACATGCAGATAAGTGCATATTCACCTATACACACACAAATTCTAGTCTTGAATGATCACTGCTGATTTTTCTTTAAAAAATGATACCACCTATGACTAAAATCTTCATAAATTATCTAGAGTTTTCAGTTCTTACGGAAAAGCCTAGCTGCGTCACTGCTGTGCTCTAAATGCTTAAAATTGTTTTCAGATCTATTCTGATCAGTAGTTGACTTTGCACTTTCAAAGAGATTTTTGGATACAAAAATAATCTAACCATAAATATCCTGAATTCTTTCAATGTACTCTGAACCACAAAGCAAATAATTATCCTTTTAGTCTGTTTCAACATCTGAGGAATAATAGTGTACTACACAGAAATGCTGCTACATTTGGTGTGGGATAGATATAAGCTCAAATATATTAAAGGACATTTTTAGTTGTCATTCCAAAGATCAGGTTTTAACAGTTGAACAGTTAAGCACTTGATCTAAAAAACTGTAAAAAAGCTAACTCAAAAGATTTTTTTATTTCTTATGTACAAAAAAGGATCTAAATTAGAAAGATACAACTACTCTAAACCCTCAGAACTTGATATTCTTTAAGATTTCTTTTCTCATTTTAGGAAAGTTATTTTCTGTTTAGATTTGTTATGCTGTGACTTCCAAGCTCACAATAGCAGAAAAGACAAATAGAATTGTTTGAACTAGTAGATCTAACTAGTACCAGGTAGTTAAATCTTAACTACAGGAAAGGGACTAGAAGGAAAGGAGAAAAGAGTGTTCAACAGACTGGAAAGAAAGCTGGAGAAGGAGAGGGAGGAGAAATGGGGAGGAGTTAAGTAGCCAGTATCATTTGTGATAGTGAATGCAGCAGCCATGGGAAACTGAGCTCAAAAAAATTCATCAGAACTAAATTCTTCACTTTCTGCTTTTTTTTTTGCCTGAGAGCTCACAGGTATGCAGACCCCCTCTTGCTCTTTACTGAGATAACTATCCTTTCAGAAACAGAAACGCATGTGGAAAAAAAAGCTGGCCTCATTAGTGGCAAGAATGATCAACTATCTTGTACTTATCCTGTAAAACACACAACCTAGCCCAAATGTTTTCCCTGCTCACCTCCCCAGTTTTTTTTTGGATGCGGGGAGAGGAGAGTGAGTAGCTGAACTAGCTGATCCTTTTTCTTCTAGTAGCAGCTGCTATTTTGAACTGGTTAAATACAAAAGAGAAACATGGTAGTTCCTTGAAGATACCACAGAGAATGATGTATCATGACACATCACAGGAACAAAAATAACATTTTCATATACCTGGAAGGACTAGTGAAAGTATTTGTAAAATTCAATCTCCCTGCAAACACAGTGCTTAGTCAGATTCTTACCCCCTTGCACTGGGTTCCCAGTATGGTGCATATAGTCCTGAAAATGCTGGCACAAAGTAGCAGCCATAAGAAGTCCCCACTTCTGCAGCCAGTTTTTCTAATGCACACACACAAACAGTCTTCATTTAGCTTTTTGCAACTGTACCAGCACTTAAATACGACACTTGAGGGTGTTATTAGTTACATAGGGAAAATACTCAGAATATGACAGGCAGCTACAAGAATAATAAAGCCACATGCAATTAGAAAATACAACTAATTCTGGCACTCTGCTTTTTATTGACTAGTTGTCCATTTGTAACAATGTGAATGGAAGATGGAGCACAGGAAGTTGTGGGAAATGTAAAATGAAAAATCAAAACTGAAAACCAAAATTGTGTACTCAATATTCTGACATAGATTCTGTGTGGTTTTCAAAGGGCATCATCTGGGTAACGAATGCAACCTTCAGAGCAGTGCAAATGGTCACACTTTACTTGCATCTAAGTCAAGGCAAGCAGCTGAAACTGGATCAAGACCAAAGGGAGTTAAGAACTAAATTCTCACTAATTTCAAATGGATTTAGAGTTCTAAATTCTCAGCGTACATATATAATCACAAGTCTAGCTACAAGGAAATCTGAAGCTTCTTAATATCTGAATAATAACTTTGGATATCTGAACTCCCCAATATTAAAATATTTTTAAGTTTAAAAAATGACATTAAAACATTTAGATCTGAAGAGGATGTAATGCTAATATGCAGCTCCTTCCTATAAGAAGAAAGGAAAATGTTTTTTTCTGCTTTTTAAAATTTATTCTGTTTGCAATGATCAGAGAAACATAGCAATAAAGAAGAAGTAGGAAAATTTATTCAAAACTTCTTTCAAAAGCAATTGCTTTTTAATCCTAAGTCTCATAAATCAGTCACTTCCAAACTGCTACACCTGCATACTTTCCTTTTTCAAAGTCTGATATAGTCCTAGTTTCTATGTCATGCTCCAGGTTTTTCAGTTGAGCTCAAGCAGAAAAAATTAGTTACCCAAATGTTAAAGGATTAATGTATTCTTAGACAAAATGGATTATCATCCTCTACAATTCCTTTAAGTAGCAGCTTTGCAAACATTCCAGACATCAAGAAATATGAAAAATTTAAGAACTTAAAACTTTAAGCTCCAAATTGTGAATACTTACCAACTTCCTGTGAAGTTTTAAGGATACCTAGATTGTCCCTCAGCCAACGAACAACAGCACCAGCTATTGCAACAGATCCCTGAAAGAAACAAAATCACTACATTAGGAGATGACAACTGATAGTTTCCTGTTCCTTTTTACAAGACTGGAGATGAAAGGTAGCTGTGGTCTCCAGCTGCAGGTTCAGCACTCCAAGAATGCTCACAACCAAACCGCAAGTTTCTTGACAGCTGGAGACTGCCATATAAAACTGGCAGCCTGTTACACAGGCTTCATGCAGTAAATGGTATATATTGCATGATTTTTGCTATGGGGGCAGTTACCATGACATTTCCTAAGCAGACTTCTTTTCTGTCTAATTTAGGTCTTCTCCTGAACATACCATTATGAGGTCCAGTAGCCTCATCCTTCTTTTTCTGACAAATTAAGATTTTTATGCTTTGATTTGAAAATACAAGACAGATTATGTCTAGAACTTAAATACAAATGACGAGACAGAAATGTAGGTACTTGTATGGGCCAGCAAAACCGCTCTGTTGCCTCAGCGAACAGCCCTGAATGGTTCCATCACTTTACAGATAAAAGGCATAGCTCCCATCTCATTCCAAAGTCCAAATGGTTTTCTCTACAAGACAGTCTCAAGTCTACTAGACTAACCTTCAAGTAAAATGGAGCGGCATCATATTTTCATCTAAAGCCACTGTGAAGAAAGAGTAGAAGTGTTTTCTAACCAGCTAACTATTACAATTACAAGATATGGCTTTGATGAAAAGGCTGAATCCACATTTTTTGCCCCGGTGTAGTATCTAAACCAGCAGATTGTAGATGATTCTAGCATGGATACAGGAGAAAAGATGCTTAATATCTTCTGCTGAAGCCATTTCTTCAGACAGCAACATTAGAGACTTGGGGATGAGGAAGAAGCAAAGTACACATGCTCATATTTCAGCATGCAGAAATACAAATCACTCTCGGGACGGTTTCAGTTACTGCTTTAAGAATATGTGTTAAAAATAAAACAAACCTCTCATACCCCTGCACAAAATGAAAACCCCAAAGTTTGTCAGAAGATGGCAAATGCAAGATCAGCTTTCCTTAAGAAAGGAAAAGGAAAGGTATACAGGCTCCTACGTCTTAGAAAAGTACTGTAAGCCACAAACTGTTCTCCCGAAGAAGAAAATCCTGCGTGTCTGTCTGTTTCACATGGAAAATGTAGGCTTTGTACAAAAGCTTAATGCCAGCAGAGAATACAGTATGCATGTTTTGAGAATAACTATTAGATCAAGCCCACTAAGCAACACAGACGGAAGAGTTCTGTTATTCCCAATGAAGGTTTGGTGGCAAATAGGTACTTAGCTGATCTGTGCTTCAGAAACGGAGCTTTAGAGCAATGAATCCTGAAATTAAAGTAAAAATCCAATTTTCTACAGGATTTGGATGCCCTCAGGGTTGTGTGGAGAACTGAAGAACTACATTCTGGAAGTAGGTACTTAAGTCTCAGTAGGTAAAAAAGCTCAATTTTTAGAGGCTTCTTGCCCCAGAAATTTGATTTAGATTTTTAAAAGTTAGAAGTAAAATCCATTAGAATGATATAAAAACCAAAGATATTTAGTTATGACTTTTATTATGAGAGGAACACTAGTACTTTTCCCCCTCTTTTTAAAGCCTACTTCTAATATAAGATTTTTTGTTTCATTTATTTACATTTATTACATATTTAAAAGACCATGTAACATGAAAAAAGTTTTAGCAATCATGCCCTGAAAATATAAGTGATGCAATGTAGAAATATTTTTATTAGATTACATGATACAGATTGGAGATAAGGCTAACCAAAACCAAGCCTTGAGGCACACAAGCTAAAACAATTATTTTTATTTCCATGCAACTGAAGATAACATAAGATACTAGAGAAGTAAACAAGAACATGTATCACTACAAAAAAGAATAATTACTGGACTTACCTCTAGTGCATAACAAACAGGTTTGTCTCTGCCCAGTTTGTAAGCTATTGTGGTTAGAAGACCATGCTCAGAAAATACAGACTAAACGGGGAAGGGGGAAAGAAAAGGAAAAGTATGAACAGAGGCAGAAAATAGTTAAATAAAAATATCCAAATTATAATAAATGAGACAAATTATAAAAAACAATAAACAAAAAAAAATAGGGAAGGTTTAAATGATGTAAATTATCAGCCACTCTAAACGAACATCTAAGATAGATCCCTCAGATTACTCTCATTTCTGTAAACTGCCTTAGATCTTTCTAGCCTCCTCATAATAAAGAATCGGGGTCTTTAGAAGGAGACGTGAATGAGAACTAAGCCAAAGCTTTCCATTATTTATTCAACTGCAAAGAAACAATGGGACAAAATGAATGGAAGAAATAAAAAAGCCAACACAAGGAGAAAAGCATGTGGTTGAGTAACAAAACACTCAGCACTTCTGGGTGATATTAAGGAACATATCCAAGGAAAAAACAAGAAACTTGTTATGAAAAGGTGTTTTTTTTTGAAACTAAAGGAGCTAGGAAACGGAGTCTTACTGAAACACCTTGAATAAATTATTCCTTTCTATTCTTTCAGATTTCAGTATACGCTTTTCCTTATCTCTAGCAATATAAGTGTTTTTAATAAGAAAGGCTAATACACAGTTGCGTTCCAGAGCTTAAATAAAGATTGTAAAATAATAAGTGAACTAAAAAAATTCAACTGACCTTCTGACCTGTATTGCACAACAAGAAACATCCTGTTCCATACCTAGCACGAAAGCAAAGACAAGTTAAAACCAGGATGTTTAAAGGATAACCTGTTACTGTAATTCATGAATCTGCAACTCCCCTTTGTACAGTCAAGACACCACTTTTTGCCTCTTGACAGTTATGTTACCATTAACTGATGATAAAATAATTCTCAAAAAGTTGATTTAAATGCAGTCTGCAGCTGAAAAATCCAGTCCCAAGTCTCTCTGCGACTATTTCTTGAATAATACTTTATCAAGGATTAGTACAGCTGCAAATGTGAGAATTCCTCTTTGGTGGCAGTGTTTACCGACTTCAGTTTAAGATGATTATGAAAGCTACTTCATAAAATAAATATTTCACAATACTAAATTCAAGCTTTTAAAGGGAAAAATTAAAGAAATTTTGTTCCTGTCATTCAAAGACCACATCACTTATGTGTATACACATACATATAAGGACACAAAGTAATAAAATTTAATTACTCATAATCCACTGTAATTTATTCTAAGAAATTACTAGTTCCCTACCTTCCTAATACCCTGAAAATTAATAGCTTAAAATAGTATTGAGATAGTCTTCAGTTATATTTGGAAAGAAAAATGGTAAAGCAATAACATAAACAGGTTAACCCTCCCCCCCCAAATCTTGCTTTTAGCATTTTGTTTAGCTGTATGGGTGGGGTTTTGTTTTGTTGCTGTTGGTTTGTTTTTTTTTTTTCTCAAAAGGTCTCTCACATTATAAAAGTGTTTCTTATAAAAATACTTTGTGACAGCATTATTTAGAACCATGTTTGTTTTACTAACATACAAGGCCAGTAGCCATTACATTGGTGTATAAATATAAAAGATAAAGTGAAGGTTTATTAGCAATAAGTATAGATTGATGTGCAATTAAATCTGTGAAAGTGCCATACTGTGTATGTACCTACATGCTCAGTTAAGCACATGGCTGTAAATGGAGCAGTAAGTCATTTAATCAGAGCTTCTACTCAAATGAATGTTTGATTACACCAGTTGCCTGATTTAACTGACCATCTGTTTTAACCGAGGGACACTAAGAGGCTCTGAGCTAGAGACAGAAGCAAAACCAAGGAATGCAACTGAAATGAACCTTTCCTGTCTAGCAAGGATGAGGGGGTACGTGTCATGCAAGTCTATGCAATCTAACATACATGGCCACTATTTTATACAAAAGTCAGGACGTTCTTTACTTTGTAGGTCAATAGAGTCAAACAGTAGAGATGTAGTTACAGGGGAAACACAAAAGCATTTGGCAGTTAGCTTGAAAGGGAACACAGTATTAAACTCAAAACTAAACAGTGTGTTTATCTTCTACTTTCATAATAACTTACGTATTTTTTGCCTGCCCATCTTGAAAACACATTTGCCCAACAAGAGCAGCAGACTGGTCACCCAAGCACTGAAAAGAGAGGTTTGTGGGTTTTTTAGCAAATGTCTCCAACACTGATCACATGCGTGAAAAAGAACATGAACAGATGAACTTTAATCTACTAGGAGCACACAGGTAATTGGAAGTGAGGAGAAATCTGCAAAGATAACCTGTGCTTTCTACTATTCTTCCCTTTATAAGAACTGCAAATGAAATGTGTCATGCTACTTATCATAGAATCATAGAATAGTTAGGGTTGGAAAAGACCTTAAGGTCATCTAGTTCCAGCCTCTCTGCCATGGGCAGGGACACCTCACACTAAACCATGTCACCCAAGGCTCTGTCCAGCCTGGCCTTGAACACCGCCAGGGATAGAGCATTCACAATTTCCCTGGGCAGCCCATTCCAGTGCCTCACCACCCTCACAGTAAAGAACTGTATCCTTATATGTCATCTGAATTTCCCCTGTTTAAGTGCAGAGTAGAGGGGCAGGATCACCTCCTTTGACCTGCTGGTCACGCTCCTTTTGGTGCAGCCCAGGGTATGGTTGGCTTTCTGGGCTGCGAGCGCACACTGAAGCCAGCTCATGTTCATTTTCTCATCAACCAACACCCCCAAGTCCTTCTCTGCAGGGCTGCTCTGAATCTCTTCTTTGCCCAACCTGTAGCTGCGCCTGGGATTGCTCTGACTCAGGTGTAGAACCTTGCACTTGTCATGGTTAAACTTCATAAGGCTGGCATCAGCCCACCTTACAAGCATGTCGAAGCCCCTCTGGATGGCATTCGTTCTCTCCAGCATAAAACTTATGGTGAACAATTTAAAGAAATAAAAATAAAAATCTATTATCTTTGCACATACTGTATTGAAAAAAGCTGAGAATCTGCTCAGCATTTCTAGATTATGTATATACTGAACTCTTTCTACATATAAAGCTGGGCTTCTTTCCATTTTGGAATGTTACTCAGAGATCCTAAGTTTGCAACAGCACTACACATATGCATTAAAGCCATCAGCTGTATTTCCACAGCCAGACCATAACTTAATAATGAAGAATCTAATCAATTAATAATTCAACTTCAATAGTTTAGTTCATGATTAACATGAAGTAAAAAAATATCAACTTAATTTGTAGCAGGATTCCTCCATGTTAAAGCTTTTCCCAGTGATGATACGTTCATGCAGAAACAGGTTCTTATCCCAGAATCTGAATTGAAGTAGGACTTACCCCTGAAATTGGTACACCTGTCAAAGCTCCAGATTTCTGACTCACAAAGAGAGAAAGAAAAGCTCCAAATTAGCTTTCCATGATTACAGTTGAAGACAATGAAAAAGAAGCTAAACTTTTAATGCTCAAAGGAAAACAAAGAAGGGTCATGAAAGCAACATGGCTCAGCTCGGGTATGCAACGGACTTCAGCTTAATGCGGCTCATGACTATAACACTAAAAACCAGCAGGAAATTCACAGGTCTATCTAATGCCACCTCAACACTTCTTAACACAAATTTTGTTGAAATCAAAGTGGACAGAAAATTAGGTTCCGTGTCATCTGTGTAACCAGTGTCAAGTGTAAAATGCAAAAGTGCAAAATGGTATAGTGGACAAAAAAAAGTGGCTGTGATGACACACTAAGCAAAACCAGACACCTCATTTAACACAGCATTTTAAGTCTCATATAGAATTTGTGCAAACATTACCACATAGTTTTTTAATTATATTTTTGCAACGGATATCATCAGAAATTTATATCCTGACAATTTTTACCTTTTACTTTAACCTGTTTCTTTGTGCAATTGTGAAATCCATTTGCAGTGAAGCCATGCAGTGCATTTCCAATATGAAGCTTTTTCTTTAATTCTCATTTTTAATTAACTGGATTTAGGTAATTCAGTTTTTAAATGCATTAAAACCCCCTGCCTGAATCTGATACTTCATTATAACAGAATGAATGTTCGTTGACAGAATGGCCCATTTTTCTCATTTATAAAACAAGACATTTGATAGCCAGTAGCTGTATTTTTTACTTCAACATAAAAAGATATATTCAACAGCCTGCAAATTAAGGCAAAAGCATACATCAAGATTACATTTTAGAAACAACTTTGGCATGAACTCTAATTGTAGTATCTCAAATTTGGAAATATGTGCCAAATTTATTGGTCTGGGAAGTGTGCTTTTACTAATCCTGAAACCAGTGGACATGCATCTGAACAGAATGGATAAGATGTAGATGTTCATCCTAATGGAAGCCTCTACTCACCAGGCTAGGACAGATTTTCTACAGTCAGCAAAAGGAAGAAAAAAAAAATGGAAGGAAAGGGGAAGAGAAACAAAAGTTCACATTTAAAGTGACCAGCAATAGTGTTTCAGTTGCCAGGTTTCCATGCTGTTTCCATTTACCTCTCTCATTCAGCTTAACTTTCATCCTACCCTCACATTATTAACAGTCAACAATGACTTCTAGTGACATCTCCATTAACAGATTAGTAAACATACTTACATGCCAGGCAAGTTAGAATTATATTTTAAATAAAATTCACATAACTTCTCTTAATTATAAAATGCTCTTCTATGTTCTTCGTAAACAACAGAGCAAACTACCAAGAATAAAAAATCGCAACATCCAGTTTATCTGATTCTGAAACAAATTAGATGCCAATGTATCAGACCAGTTGGTGCTGCATTAAAGTAAACTTGAAACCTCAGTCACTTGATAACAATGAATGATTTACTCCTGATATTCACAGCTGCACTGGAAAACTGTATGATTAGAAAAAAAGGATTAAAAAGACGTATTTCCAAATCATGTTTTGATTAAGTGCTATGTAAATATACACACAGGAAGTTTGTTTTTCAAACAAACAAATCTAAGGTGTTACTTGTGATTTTCCAGTTCACAAAAACTGACCAATCTTGCCCTTGGTTATGTGGAAATAAGATATCATACATCTTGTCCAGCCTTCCTAGATCATGAAGACTTCCATGATGTCTTTCATAATTTCTTTTCAGAAGTAAAAATACTTTGCTCTAATAACAACAATCTCATTCTTTCAATGTACTGATTAAACATAGCATTCTGAAAGGTACTTTTTAAATCAGTAAGTAACTGTAATAAAAAAATAAAACTTTTATCCTTACCAAAAACCTCTCCCATCTTGTTTTGTCTATTTGATACTTAGAAAACAAGAAATACTCAATTTAATATTATACAATAGATAACACACTAATCATAAATCAAACAATATTGGTCTAGAAAAAGCCATTAGTCTTAATCTATGTGAACTCTGACAAATCTATATTGATATAGTCATATTTTTACAAGATTAACTTCACACAACACAAGAAAACATACCATCAGGCCATAAATCTCAGAGGAGCTTCGTACTTTTGGGAGTATTTCCATAGGAATATCAAAGAACCTGAACACAGTACAAAATAATTTATATATATGTGGTCAGCACTAAAGCAGAAAGCATTTTGCATTTATTTTCTTAAATATGTTAAAACTTTAAAGAAAAAAAGAAAACCAAATGTAAAAGGAACTTTGACTTCTAGGATTTAATCCATCACTGTGTTTTTCCACTTGTTACAGTACATGATACTGAATTATGGAGTAATTATGGAGTAAACCAGTGGAGACCTCACAGCAGCCTTCCAGTATCTGAAGGGGGCCTATAGGGATGCTGGGGAGGGACTCTTCATTAGGGACTGTAGTGATAGGACAAGGGGGAATGGGTTAAAACTTAAACAGGGGAAATTCAGATGACATATAAGGATACAGTTCTTTACTGTAAGGGTGGTGAGGCATGGTAATGGATTGCCCAAGAAAGTTGTGAATGCTCCATCCCTGGCGGTGTTCAAGGCCAGGCTGGACAGAGCCTTGGGTGACATGGTTTAGTGTGAGGTGTCCCTGCCCATGGCAGAGAGGCTGGAACTAGATGACCTTAAGGTCTTTTCCAACCCTAACTATTCTATGATTCTATATATTTGAATATTTTGAAGACATATGCAAGTCTTTCATGTGGGAAGTCATTCCTCTTCCAGCAGTATCTTTATAATATTGTTAATAAATTTAAATTTAAAATAGTGACACTATCATTGTAAGCAGCTTACAAATCTAATTAAGGTATAAAGAAACTATTAAATGTCATCATTTCCATGAACCAGTCTTCCACCTACAGAAAAAATCTGCTACTTTTAATTAATCTAGGCTGTTGCAATTTGGACATCTGGAGAACAATGAATCTTAACTACTAATGTAATTTACTAACAGTAAATGCAAGAGTAACTGCCAGTCTTAGTCTAGATAAAGGGGTTCTTACTCTTAAATTAATCTCTTCACACAACAGTTATAGAATCTATTTAAATAACAGTATTACTGAAAAACTGAGCTTACTGGCAGAGTTCAGGATCCCATTCCAAGGAATGAATGTTGAACAACATTGTTCTGCTGGCATTAGTTACATCTGTACAGTGAACACCTCCATTCTTTCCACCCGTCAAACTCTGGACAAAAAAATATATTAACAGTATTCACCAAGCAAAGATAGAAATTTACTTAAACAAATTTAAAAATATTTCTGAATTCACAATGCTTTCAGCTTGGAACTGGGAATTCTGTATTTCTCCAGCAACTAAAGAGGCAGACCTGTTACAGTGGAACAAAGGCACAAGAGAGGTAATAGGGTTACAACAGTACCTCCTGGATTCTTATATTGCAAAGGTGGCTGATGCAGCTTTCTGAAGTCTGAGGCTTTTCCAAAAGCATGAGCAAAATCTAACAGCAACCTATGAATGGTAAACTACACATAAGCATCTACCAAAAAAAAAATGTAATAGAGGGACCATAAAATCTTCATCTAGTATGATTTACCACATGACATCCTTGTCTCTAAACTGGAGAGACATCAATCTGGTGAATGGACTACTCAGTGGATAAAGAATGGACTGGATGGCCACACGCAGAGAGTTTTGGTCAACGACTCAATGTACAGCTGGAGACCAGTAATGAGTGGTGTCCCTGAGGGGCTGGTGTCGGGACCAGTCTTGTTCAACATCTTTGTCAGTGACATGGACAGTGGGATTGAGGGCGCCCTCAGCAAGTTTGCCAATGACACTAAGTGGTTCAACTGATATGCTGAAGGGAAGGGATGCCATCCACAGGGACCTTGACGCGCTTGAGAGGTGAGATAATGTCAGCTTCGTGAAGATCTACCAAGCCAAGTGCAAGTTCTTACACCTGGGTCGGGGCAATCGCAGGCACAGCTAAAGGTTAAGCTGAGAAGACATTCAAAGCCGCCCTGCAGGGAAGGACTTGGGGGTGTTGGCTGATGAGAAAATGAACATGAGCCAGCTTCAGTGTGTGCTCTCAGCCAAGAAAGACAAATGTATCCTAGGCTGCATTAAAAGGATTGTGACCAGCGGGTCGAAGGAGTGGATCCTGCCCCTCTACTCTGCATTCATGAGACCCCACTTGGAGTATTGTGTGCAGTTCTGGTGTCCTCAACATAAAAAGGACATGGAGCTATTGGAACAAGTCCAGAGGAGGGCCGCGAGGATGATCAGGGGACTGGAGCACCTCTCGTATGAAGACAGAGTGAGAAAGTTGGGGCTGCTCAGCCTGGAAAAAAGAAGGCTGCGTGGAGACTTCCAGTATCTGAAGGGGGCCTATAAGGATGCTGGGGAGGGACTCTTCATTAGGGACTGTAGTGATAGGACAAGGGGGAATGGGTTAAAACTTAAACAGGGGAAATTCAGATGACATAGAAGGATACAGTTCTTTACTGTGAAGGTGGTTAAGGCACTGGAATGGGTTGCCCAGGGAAATTGTGAATGCTCCATCCCTGGCGGTGTTCAAGCCAGGTTGGATGGAATCTTGGGTGGCATGGTTTAGTGTGAGGTGTCCTTGACCATGGCAGAGGGATTGGAACCAGGTGATCTTAAGGTCCTTTCCAACCCTAACTATTCTGTGATTCTATGGAACTTTAACGGCATTTCTGTAGTGGCTTGCATCCACATCACTGCGTGATCACTGGGCATCATATGTCACAGTACATTGCACAAGAATTTGTATGATACCGAAATTAATTTTAAAAAGAGTGATAATAAACTCACAAATACATACCCATATAAGCCATGAGTCAATAGTCCCAAACATAGCTCTTCCATCATCAACTGCTTGCTTAATTTCTTCCACATTATCCAAAAGCCATCGAAGTTTTACTGCACTAAAATAAGTGCTAAGTGGAAGACCAGTCCTAAACTTTAAAATAAAATTAAAAAAATCACCTAAACATCGTACAAGTATCTTTTCCATTAATATTGTAGTTACATTTAAAAATGGTGATTGTAAGTGAAAAACCAAAGACACAAAACTCTGAGAAATTGCACAAACTTGTTATTTAGATGAATACTAACCATACAACACACAAGTCTGAAAATATAAACAAATGATCAGTGCATTAATGGACAAAAATGAAAGCTGTTCTAAATGCAAGTCAAAGATCGTTTACATGGAAACAGTTGTTTGCAGAAGTCCTGTCTTATCTAGGATATCCCCATATGACTAGACAGCAAGTAATGATAACAAAAATGAGTAGCACAACACAGAAAAGATGGAATTTGCATTCAACTGAAAATCAGATACACTTTTATGCTTTTTGACATCCATTTCCTGCCTATTGGAAAACATATATACAGAAAATATATACAATTTATACAGTCAATCAAGGAAAATATAAATCAGATTTATGACACCTGTTTTTATATATATCCACATATAAAAACGAACAAACTTGCTTTCTATGAACTATCTTCCCAGTTCTCAGATTGGTTGCAATTGATTTCATTAAGTCATGAGAAAGGATAACAATTTTTCATCAATAAATTACTTTCAAAACTTTTTTTTTTCTACTTGCTGTTAATTTTTGTGTGTGATGTTTACTTACCATTGGATAGCACATGATTAAGTCTCACGAAAGATTACTCATTTAACTTCTGTACTGAGATATGTAAGGAGTTTTAACCACTTCTTTTGAGGAAAATAAACATTTTCAAGTCTCGGATTGGTGTATAGGATTATGCACATATTTTATTATTTGACAAGCTAAAAAGGGACTAGAAGCAACAACTGATTTACTTGGGGAATTATAAGCACTCATCTCAAAACGTTATATAATGTAGCATTACATTATATAACGTATAATGTATATAGATAACGTATAAAGAGTTGAGCTACAATTTAACTGTTCTGGAATATGTCTTACCTTAAAAAAGGATTTGTTTTTTCCTGGAATTTTTTTAAGAAGACGGTCAACTGTTGCCTGGGTTCTCAGGTCAAGCCACACTGAAACCATTAATATATGAACTGATCAACTGGTTTAGTACAGGAGAAGTGACATGTACAAGCTTATTCTATAAAACCAGAGTTCTTGCCAGTAAACTGCTGACTTCTTTTTTTTTTAGCTTTTCATGTCATTGGAACAATACTGTATTGCCATTGTATTTTAAATGCACTGTTGTAAAAATTGAAAATGGTTAGATAAACTCATTGATTTAGAAGAACAAACAACCTGAGAAATCAAATATGATTTTCCACATAATAGGATATATACTTTGCTCTTTTGGAGCACAAGAAAATTATTAATAATACCTTGTTTACAGCAGATGACTGTCATTAAACTAAGAGGTTAAAACAAATAGTAGGCTGATTATTTACTACACCTATGAAAACTTTGAACTTAAGTGCAACATCAGAGTTATCAAGGTACAGCTGGGCTTAAGATAAACCTGTATAAGATAAAGCTGCTTAAGATAAAGCAGCACAGATTTGAATATAGAAGATTCCTGGTTTTTCACTGATACTATGCTACTGCTGACAATCTGAAAAGCTAAGGTAAGTTAAAAGTAAAACTCAAAAGCAATAAGATTTCATTAAACCTACTTAACATGTTTTTCATTGGAAGCGAAATAAAAAGTATCCTGAAAATGTATTAAGCTCCTTCATTTAAAAGGAATATTTTGATCTGGCATAACTCAGAGCTTCATTACATACCAGGGATGTACAAAACCTCTCAGGAATACTGTTTCTTTTTTAATCACATAAAGTGATTTATTAAGTAATAATTCTAACAGAATAGTCTGGTTTTTTTTTAATTGCACTGGTATATACAAACACACAGCTTATGACACAGACATCAAAAAATAAAAGAAGTTAGTAAGCTTGGCTGCAATGAGATCTGCACAGGCAGTAAGGAAAGCATTTTTTCACAACATGCTCATTTTATGGTATTACATAATTCAAAAGTAGAGTAGTTACCGATAGCATTATAAAGAGGTTCTCCAGTTGTCTTGTCCCAGACCACTGTTGTTTCTCTCTGATTGCTGACTCCAATGGCTTCAGGACAAAATGGAAAGAAGTATCCTTTTCAGAAGGTTTGTTTACCCCTTTTAGGGGGTGAGTGAGGAAAGGGATATGTGGAGAGGATGGTGGTATTGGTAAGGAGAAGAGGAAAGCAAATGGGAAATAAAAAGCTTTCAACCTTTTCATGTTATAATCTAGAAATATTACTTTGAAAACCTCATCATTCACCTTTTGCTGCTTAACTTATGTGCTCTAAATATTTTTTTTTACTTTTTTTTACACAAACTGAAACAGCAACAACACTGACAGGGAAACTTGTTTTTCCCAATGAGTCCTAACTAAAATTTCAGAATTTCTTCATTCATTACTTTTCTCTGTTAAGTCTACTTTGTAGACTCTGCATTGCTAAACTAAACAAAGGACTTACTTATTTTCTCATCATTCCTCCCAAACAAACTGCTCTCGATTCCAATTTAACATTTTCTTTGAAGCCAGCACATTCTGCCACCCTTCTTATTTATTGACTTAAAAACTAGAGAGTCTTAGTTGCTCAACCGTAAGTATGTTAAAGCCCTCAGTTAACATTAAGGAGTAGATGCCCTTAGCGACACGGTTTAGTGGTGGACATGGCAGTCCTGGGGTAATGGTAGGACTTGATGATCTTAAAGGTCTTTTCCAACCTAAATGATTCTATGATTTTATGAATACCTTTTATATTAGTGATGTCTATGTTCAGTTGTTGCAGTTTCTCACAGGTCTTTTCCACACATTCATGGACAGAACTTAATATTTCCTTTGGATCTTGTTCCACCCATCTTTAACAAAGAGTAAACACCAGTTAATAAAAATGCAAAAAAAATTACATTTAGGGAAAAAAAAGAAATTTTCAGTCTGAAAAAAACAGCTTAGCATTAGACAAAATCATAACTACAAAGCATGTTTTACATATCTAGAAAAAGCGCAATGAATTTCAAATCCTTTTTAAACAGTAAACTGTATTTTCACAAGAAAAAACTGCAAAATACCAAAGATTTTTTCTTTTGTTTTATTCTATACAGAAAGCTTTGGCAGAAATGCTAGGTGAGCTAAGAACAATCAATCAAATAAAACCATTTCATATACTAAGCATTATATATGGACTAAGATGAAAACTATGACTAAAGTGTGAAAATGACCAGCTTTACCACTTCAAATGAGACTTTAAGTCCTGTTTGAGCTTTAGTTGTAAACTTTAAAGTTTAAACTTCAAATATGTTAGTGAGCATTAGCAGTAAAACACTAATTATTTTTAGTTATTTCACCACCCAAGTGAGGTTTTTTTATATCAATTTTTCTATCACAGTCTTTCGTAGCAGATACTGTATTCTTAGTTATTATTAATCAACTTCAGTTTGATCATTCATACATAAAAATATATAAGCTCTACAAAAATGTACACAAATGAAAAACCACAGAAAACTCATACCCTTCTTTAGGGAATTTCTGCACTATCTCAACTTGATGGTGACTCAAGAGCTCTGATGTTTTTGCATTAAAAACCTGAAAATAAATTACAACAACAAAATTTTCTATGAACACAGAAGTTTAAACAACAATAAATTAGCATTTACTCTTTTGAACAAATACAGTGCCCTTATAATTAACACTAATTTTCTATCATCAACACACATATCTATGTAACCTCAGTTCCGATATATGAATTGTAGTAACTAAAGTATGCAAAGAATATTTTGGTAATCTATGCTGTCAATTATAACTGGAATAGTGATTTTAAGAGAAAGACAATTGTGTAGTTTAGATATCACAAAAGGAACTAAATGGTGAAGAAAGAAAAAGCACGTAGAACCCATTTTTTTCAAAACTACAAATACGGAGTTCATGAATGGTCTGACAAGAAAAGAATGTTACTGCAGCAGCACAATATACTAAAAAAAAAAAAACCTGAAGAAAAGTGACTTAGATTTGGATATACTACCATAAAAAAAAAACAGCGGAGTATAGAATCCTGACATCTATACTAATGGCTATTCTTAAGGAATCACAAGTTAGAAGGTCTGCCTTGAAGGAGAAGCTCAGCTAGAATATACAATGCTCTTCATTAACCAACAGTAAACTGTTTCCAAAAGTAACTAACTGACTGTGGCCAAGCTAAGATGTCACCCAGTAAAGCATCCAACTCAAGTGTACAATGGGTAAGCAAGCATAACTGACTGGGCTACGAAGATGTTCTTGTGAAAATGGCTTTTTCTCATTAGCATCATGCATAATCTTTGCTTGAAGAACGTTCAGGGACCTAGAAGGTAAAATTTAACAGCAGACACAGGTGAACTGCAGAACATGCCAGTAGAACACTATCCTATCTTTTTATGGCAAGCAGAGGAGGGTCAGATTTAAGAACCACTCTCATGCTAGGAGTACAAAATTCCATTGTACCCATCCACTCTCTAGGATACAACTGCATCTTTTCTAGACTTCCTCGTCAACTCTCCTTTCTCATTCCACAAATGTTAGGAATTGCTCTTAAAGCTTATAATCCATGAACTCTTGATTTCATTTAGATAGTACAGTTTACTTTGAAACTATTAGAACAATCCTGACAAAATGGAGTAGCAGATGGAGTTCTAGTTCTCCAGTTTCTTGGAAACCTTACAGTGTATCTTTAAAATGAAATTTTGAAGTTTAGAAACAATCTAGTTCTATATTAGAATAATATAATAATTCAGGCTGAAGGGGACCTTGTGAGATCTCTAGTGCAGCTTCCTCCTCAAAGCAGGGTCAGCTATGAGATTAGACCAGATTGCTCAAGGACTTTTTTGACACAGGTCTTGAAAACCTCAAAGGACAGCAACAGCATGACCTCTGGAAAATACTAAAAGCTAAATTTTCCCCTCCTCTACCCAGAGAAGAAGTTTTAAAAAGATACATATTCATCTTTCTCTGTTACCAGTTGGAAAGTTTACATAGAAAAAGCACCACTGTATTCTTCCTACCATATTTATTTATCTGTGTTTCATCTACCAGCTGAGGCTTGATATTAAGCTACCCTAACGAAAGGGTAAGTTCTGTCAGGAAACCATGTTTGGAAGGAACTCATATAATGGAATAGGGGTCTTAAAACACTATCAAACATAGTTAATTGAGACATTAAGTTTTACATATATGCAGCAAGACATTTTTTACTTGAAATTGCCTTTCTGCCAAAAGCCCAATAACATTTACTAGGTTTTTTATAATAAAGATAGAAAGATAGAAGACTTTATTGAACTGGTACGTATCTGACCTACTAACAGTGTAAAATATAATTTGGCTGATCATCCACCCTTAATTCTTCACTAGTTCTTGAAACAGAAGGCAGTGCATAAGGATGCCTACTGTTAGCAGGAAATAAATACAATTGGACAAGGTCATTCATTGAACCTGGAGTGTGGGACCCACCTATAATAAAGCATGAAGCTCTAGCACACCAAAGGTTTTTAACTCCTTCTAAGCAAGGTGTTCTAACAGCAATAAATTCTCAACAGAAGCGGTAACACTACAAATGCCTAGATCTCTTCATGCCCATAGAGAACTAGGTAAACACAGTCTCCTAGTCCATCACACACAAAACCGCAAACTTTGACATCCTCAACAAAGCCAACAGACACTCCCTGCACCTCAGGGCAAGGGATTAAAAAGTTTCACTGGGAACAATACCATATTCCACAGCGATAAATAGAATCCTGATACACAAAAGGATGACAAACATAAATGGGTCGTCATATTTGAACCTAGATTATAAAAGAGGGACTATACGTAGAACAAAAGTGACCTCCCCTCTTTCCCTGCCTACCCCCTAAAAAAAAAAAAAAAAATTGACAAAACTCAAAAAATCTGTCCTTGTTTCTCTCTGACAGTAGTGAGAAAGAGATAGGTGACAATAAGTATTTCAGAGGTTAATACGTTCTTGTTGGAAAAGGTTTGAAGCATATTTCTGTTACTACTTTTGTTCCTTTCATATTCATTAAGAACTGGTTCCAATTTATGATAGTGATCTCTCTCCTCTGGAGGTAGGGGAAGACAAAGTGGGTTTTGCCTTAATTTTATCAGCAGTAGTCACAAAAGAATTGTCTAGGCTACTGAACATGTAGAGGTATCTTGAACAGAGATGATTTCATGAAAGCTGGAGGTCTTTCATCTAGCTGGAGGTCTGTGACTCTAGCTGGAGGTGTGTGACTAGTGGAGTCCCTCAGGGGTCGGTGCTGGGACCAGTGCTGTTTAATATTTTCATCAACAACCTGGATGAGGGAACTGAATGTACCCTCAGCAAGTTTGCTGATGATACTAAACTGGGAGGAGTGGCTGACACACCAGAGAGCTGTGTTGCCATTCAGCGAGACCTGGACAGGCTGGAGAGTTGGGTGGAGAGGAACTTGATGAAATTCAACAAGGGCAAGTGTAGAGTCTTGCATCTGGGGAAGAACAACCCCATGTACCAGTACAGGTTGGGGGCTGACCTGCTGGACAGCAGTGAAGGGGAAAGGGACCTGGGGGTCCTGGTGGATAGGAGGATGACCATGAGCCAGCAATGTGCCCTTGTGGCCAAGAAGGCCAATGGCATCCTAGGGTGCATTAGAAAGGGTGTGGTTAGTAGGTCAAGAGAGGTTCTTCTCCCCCTCTACTCTGCCTTGGTGAGGCCGCATCTGGAATATTGTGTCCAGTTCTGGGCCCCACAGTTCAAGAAGGACAGGGAATTGCTTGAAAGAGTCCAGCGCAGAGCTACAAAGATCATTAAGGGAATGGAACATCTCTGTTATGAGGAGAGGCTGAGGAAGCTGGGACTCTTTAGCTTGGAGGAGACTGAGGGGTGACCTCATCAATGTTTACAAATATGTAAAGGGTGAGTGTCAGGATGATGGAGCTAGGTTTTTTTCAGTGATGTCCAGTGATAGGACAAGGGGCAATGGGTGTAAACTGGAGCATAGGAGGTTCCATGTGAACATCAGGAAAAAATTCTTTACCGCGAGAGTGAAAGAGCACTGGAACAAGTTGCCCAGGCGGGTTGTGGAGTCTCCTACATTGGAGATATTCAAGGCCCACCTGGACAAGTTCCTGTGTGATGTACTCTAGGTTACCCTGCTCTTGCAGGGGGGTTGGACTAGATGATCTCTTGAGGTCCCTTCCAACCCTTAGGATTCTGTGATTCTGTGAAAGGCAGTGAAAACTACCTGATACGTACTCCATTATCTGGTGAGAGATTGAGGAAAAGAATAAATAACACAGTCCTTCCACTCACAACAAAATAACATACAAAGAATTAAAGCTTGAGCCTTAAATCTCAAGAGCAGAGAGAAGACAGACATACTTAGCTGTGCTGTAGGTAAGCAAGCACAAGGGCTGATCTTTACAAGGTCTGTAATATAACGCATGGCATCATATGTAGGGGTGCAGAGAGCTGCATGGTATTACATTGAGTCTTTATTATCTTAGTGGAAAAGAATTCAGATCAATTATTGTAATAATTTCCAAAGATGAAAATAAATATGAAACAAAGAGAAACATGAGGCTTATGGAAGTCAAGCAAGAAGCTGCACAGCTGAAAAAACAATAGTGAAAACAGATATTAGAAGTAACTTTTCAATAAAAGTTGGGGCTGTTCATCATGGAGAAGAGAAAGCTGCGTGGAGACCCCATAGCAGCTTTCCAGTATCTGAAGGGAGCCTATAGGGATGTTGGGGAGGGACTGTTCATTAGGGACTGTAGTGACAGGACAAGGGGTAAAAGGTTAAAACTTAAACAGGGGAAGTTTAGATTGGATGTTAAAAGGAAATTCTTTCCTGTTAGGGTGGTGAGGCACTGGAATGGGTTACCCACGGAGGTTGTGAATGCTCCATCCCTGGCGGTGTTGAAGGCCAGGTTGGACGAGGCCTTGGGTGAGATGGTTTACTGTGAGGTGTCCCTGCCCATGGCAGGGGGGTTGGAACTTGATGATCTTAAGGTCCTTTCCAACCCTAACTATTCTATGATTCTATGATTACTGTCAAGCTTTGCCACGTAACTCTGCCTGGAGAAAACCTACTTCTGTTGTCCTATGCTGTATCTTCATGACTTTTTGTTAAGCTGAAACAGCTATAGCAAACAAGCTCCTAGCTCGAGTTCTGAAACTGCACTGAAATAAACCCAACTGGGGGAAGGATGTCAAACAATAATCCTGCCTTTAGCACTTTACCTAGCAGGCAGGCAGAAACTATGAATAAGTTTAACAAGTTTCCCAGAAATTATCTTGGTTGGAAGGCTCCTGATGAACAGATCTCCCTCCTCCCCCCCTTCAAGCAGGTGTCTCTTCCCTCCTGTGGGAATAAAAAGCAAACCTGCAATGTACTTGAAGTGATAAAAACTAAGAACTAGGAAAAAACTGAAATATTTGCAATATTTTTAACCCTTCTGTTAGCTATACAATCAAGCTTTGCTTTCTCCCCTAAAATGTCACATTATTTCAGTAGAGGGGTGAAACAGGTTTCCCTCTGAAGGGTAAGCTTAATGGGTACTAAGTTTTTCCTTCTCTAAAACCAGGTTTTGTTTTCTGAAAAGAATGCTGATAGTGTGATACAGCTTTATTTGAATGTTTCTTTTGAAATGAGGTGGAAAAAAAAATGGGGCTGACTGACAAAGCTAGAACTTGAAGTACTGTACATGCACTTGACTGTATGTATACTTCACTGAATACTTCTATTCTTCTTGCTCCTGGATAAAATGCCAGATGTTACCCTGCAAATACCTTTCAAGAGATCAGCCAGTGGTTAGGCTAACATTAGCTCATGATCCAAAAGCTTTTGGCAAAAGAAGTTACAATGGATTTTTATTATACAATTCTTGAATAAAATGGAAAATGAGAGATGCAAATATTTGATGAAAATATTTGGCAAAACATCTAGACCAGACTTTAGTCATCTGGGTACACTTGCATAGCCTACTCAATTTATTTTCCTGCTTGGTATCTTAAAGAAAATGAGCCTTAAGCAATTGCACTGCTTTAAGCACTGCGCCCTCCCTAGTAAGTGAATCTGTCATGCAGACTCGACACAACAGAAAAGTTGAGATCAAATAATTACAGTTCATTTTGCAAAAACAAGTAGCTTAGCAAAAAACAAAAAACAAAAAACAAACATCCAAACTAGGGTTCCCAGAGGGTAAAACTACAGCATAAGCTAAAACTGTATGTATGTTGTGTGTGAGAGGCAAGGACAAGTAAGTGGCAGTAGCAGAAATGTAGCTTTGTTCTGGTGTTTCTTCATCATCTGTGCTCATATAGCCTCAATCACATAAGCAGGAGAATCTCTAAAAACTTGTGTCCATACACAGAATAATTAATTCTGGAAGGAATCTCTGGGGGTTGTCTAGCCTGACCCACTGCTCAGGTAAGTTTAAATTTAAAGTTAGATGACGTTGTTCAGGGCTTTTGCTAGTCAGATGTTGAGTATCTGCAAGGACGGAAATTCCACAGGCTTTCGGTGGCCCTGATCCAGAGACCCTCATAGTGAAATATTTCTTCCTTACATCTATCTGAAACTTCACTTGCTGCAACTTGTGTTCATTGCCTGTTGTATTTTCTGTGCACCTCTGACAAAAGGCTTGTTCTGTGTTCTCTACAAGATATGGTTTAATAGCTGAAGACACTCTCTTACACTTCTCTGTGAAGAAACAGCTCCTCATCTCTCAACCTCTCCTTGCATGCTTTGTGCTGCAGCTCAGTGATCATGTTAGTGACCCCCTGCTGGACGAAATCCAGTTCTTCAGACTCTCTCTGCCTCTAGGGGAGTCAAAACCAGACACAGTGTTCTAGATTCTGCCTCCCAAGTGCCACACAGATGGCAATAATTACTTCTTTGATCCACAGTCTGCACTTTTCCTAATGTGGTTAATCTTCACCAGTACAAGAACACACTGCTCGCTTCTACTAAACTTGCTTGTAAAGCAGGAGCCCAGGTCCTTTTGCATCAAGCTGCTCCTTAGCCTTCTGTCCCAAGTGCTGAACTTTGTTGAACTTAGGCTTCTGCCAGGCCACTTCTCCAACTGGAATGCCAATGAACTGTTCCTCCTGTCTATGGTGATCTGCAAACTTGGGAGGGCATTCCACCCCATCCCCCAGGCTGTTAATGAAAATACTGCAGGCTATCCCAGTATTTGCTTTGCTGTGGAACACCGCTTGTAAACTGGCACCTGTAACTGTAAATTTAGACTCTGAACTGTTGACACTATCCTTCAGCCCCAAAGGACCTGCCAGTTTCTCACCCATTCATCTTTAACCTGGTCAAAGTTGTATGTCTTCCATCTTAAAAAACAAGGTAGCAGTTGTACTAGTGCAAAGTAACCAGCAATTTAATTTTGACTGATGACTTGGTGAAGATGAAAATTGTTGGAAGCATTAGAGGAAAAAAATAAAGTAGAGAGATTAAGAGAAAAAGGTATGGAAAACAACTAGCACAGTAGAAGATAGAGAGGCAACAACAGAGCCAAGAAAACAACTTGGGCAAACCACATTACTTTTTGGTTTAAAACATTTCAAAGCCAAGTCTCTCTTCTAAGTGTGGCAATCTCTTCCCAGCACAGAATTCTCCAGATACATGTTATTATCTGAATGCCTGATGCAGCTTGTAGCAAATCCATGCACAGTTTGCCCTCTCCTTCCCCTTACCCCATCTTTTGATTTAATTCAGTGATGATGTATCTTTTTTGCTCAAATTCACATAACTTTATTATCATTATAGTTTGGTCACTGCCAAACTGAAGACAACATTGTATTTTGAAATGAACTGAGAAACTGGGATGGATACAAGAAGAACTGAAGAGTGACAGACACAATACACTTAAAAAAAAAAATAAAAAAAAAAAGATGTCATTTGTGTAAGCACCTGAATCCTTGAACAGAGGCAAAATACCTAATGCACAGAGAAAAAGCTCCCAACTGTATACAATCCACTGATGAAAGTGCAAGAAATTCCTTGTTAGAAGAACATGTCAAAATGCTGGTAAAAAGAGCTTGAGTATAAATTTAAAGCTTGCTGTGTCACTTTTGGTTCTGCTAATGTTAACCTTTTATGCCAAGAAAAAAGTTAACCTCACATACACATAAAGCATATAGAGTTTATCTTCAGGTGTTAAAGGAAACTTCTCCAAATTCTTTCCAAAAAGGACTCCTGACTGGCATGCAAGATAGCCTGCTGGTGTCATCTGTCAGTCTGGATTTTCCCTCCACCCTCAGATCTCTGTTTTGTCATTTGACAATCCCATGAAGGTCGTGATGTTGAGTAATAATGGTAACACAGGTCAAGAAGATATTCTAATCTCCAGCTTCATGAAAGAACATACCACATGGGGAAAGCATTGAAAAAAAACTAAAACCCACACAAAACCAAACAAACCACACAAACGCACACACCAAAAAAAAAAAAAAAGGCAAGGGCAAGATAAAACATTGCCCTCCCCAGCTGATCACATCTGGCAGCATTTTGTATCTAGTCATTCTCTACTCCATTTCTACAGTGGAATTATCAGTGGGATCTAAGTCAAATCACTATGACTTACTGACTCAGCAACAGGTCATTTGTAGAGATTTGCACGCAGGAAGTTTATAAGTTTCATATATAATAGCAACATTAGTTACTTTCTATTGCATAATAGAGAAATAACTTGATCCTTAAACTAAAGGTCTTATATAGGCTATTATTATTATTAATCACCCCATTCTTAAAGAAACTATCTTCCCCCAGAGATTAAGAAGACCATCTCTCATAAGGTGTACAGGTTCAGTCACCTGAATACCTACAGTGCTCAGGACACGTTGACATTAAGGTTGTAGCCTCCGAAACTGCAGCGATCATTCCAACAGGCCCAAGTAGGTTTTAGAGGGTAACGCAGCATTCATTGCACTGTCTGAACACTGCTAGCTAATCACAGTCACTCAACCCACGCGTATCTATTTCTCCACTGTCTGTGCACCTTGTCCATTTGACTTCAGAGCGACAGACCTTTCAGATTTAAAATACAGCCTGCTCGAAGCAGCAGGATTTTGCAGCCCCCTCCAGCAGCACCCAGAAATGCTGCCCTCCGCTTTGCCCTGCGGCCGGGAGGGCACCGCCGCACGGTCCGCTCCCCTCGGTACGGGCAGCGCTGCTCGCCTCTCAGGGCGGCGGGAAGGCGACGGGGGTCCTATCGCCGGGGAACACTGCCGGCCGGTAGCTCCCCACGGCCCGCGTCCACCGGCGCTCGCTTCCTCTTGCGGCGCGGTGGCCCCGGCCCGACAGAGGACAGAGGGAGCCGGTGCAGTGCGGGAGACAAGAGCCACGGCACGGCCCCGAGCGGCCCACTCCCCCTGCCCTTCTCCAAGGGCACAGAAGAGGCCGGAGGGGCCCCGCGAGGATGCAGGAGAGGAATCAGCAGCTCCCCCGGGCCGCCGCCTGCACCCCGTACGTCTCTGCGCCCCGGGGGCCGCCGCAAGCCCCGCGATGTGCTCACCAGGAAGCGAGTGGAGCTGGTGCCTTGATCGATGGAGCCCACCAGTGGCCCCAGCATCATGCGGTTGGACGCGGCCATGAGTCCCGCTCCGCCACCCGTTGGGTCCCCTCAGCAGACGGGTACCGGCCGGGCTAACGCCGCCTGCCAGCTCGCGGCTAGCGGCGCGTGGCTGAAGGGGTGAAGCCGGCGGGGGGGGGGCGGGCAGGGGGGCGCTGCCGCGCGTATTGTCAGCCCGCAGCCAATCAGCGCTTGGGGCGCGGCGGGGGCGGAGGGGCGAGGGCGGGGCCGGGAGCGCAGGAAGTCGGCCAGCTATTTCAGGGCGGGGGAGTGGGCGGGGTTATGTGGTGGAGCCGTTGGCGTAAGGGGAGCGCTGGGGCGGGCGCGGAGGCGCTGCCCCACGGAGGGCAGGTGCTGTTGCCGGGGGTCTTCCGCGGGCTGGACGTAAGTCCCTGGGGAGCCTGCAGGGCGAGATGCGGGGGCACCGGTCCGCGGTCATTCCTGTGCTGCTGCGGTGAAACCCGTTTTGCTCGCAATAGGCGAGAGAGGAAAGAAACGCCTCCCGGGCCCGGTTGGCTTTCACGGTGTGGCCCGCAGCGTTACCTCTCTGAGGCGGGGTCCAGCCTCGGAGGGTGAGAACCCGGGAGGTGCCATACCGGGATGTCTACTGGAAGTTTTCTTTTCGGAGTGAATATCGCCGAGGAGTCCCTCCTTGTAGCCGTGGCACTGGCACGTTAGCCAGCCCCTAAGGGGGTTGTTTCAATCTTAGCAGCTTGATCCTTCGTCAAGATGAAATACCAACTTCAAAAAATGGGATCTTGATCTTCCTTACTATGCGTTGGTAACTAGCGCTTCGAGAAAAACTGCTGGTGTTGCAAGACCCGTGATCGAATTGCAAAAGCTAATAACGCTGACTAAAGCACATGAGAAGTTACCCAGTGGCACATGTTGCCAGCAAATCGGCCCCCACAGGCGCCATTAAACAGATTTGTCTTTGTTGCAGATCTCTCCCCGTGAGTAGCTGTTGTCCAGACTCGGTGTTCTGTAGGCATTGCTCCCTGCTAAGCAGAATCTGATTGCTGCCACTTGGTAACGTTTTGCGTGACATCATTACTTAGAGCTTCTGACATACCCTTTTATTTCTCAGTACTTCAGCTGGCATATGGGAGTCGGTTAGGATCTGAACAGTACTATCTGCCCATTGTAACAGATATCAAGGGGTTCAGTTGCAGCCCATAATTACAAAATCTGAAATGAGACATAGAGTTTAGTAGTAAGATCCATGTTTTCCAGAGTGAGAGTAATGAAGCACTGCAACCACTTACCAACCATTATGAAGGATTATCCGTTATTCTAAAATTTTATAACCAAGGATGCTGTTTTTTTCTTAGAATTTAAGCTGTAGCTCAGAGATTAGTTTGCTCAGAGATGTGCTGCACCCCACGGAGAAGGATCCACAGTGGGTGATAGTCATAACGATGCCTCCCAGCTTTGCCTCTAACCCACCCCCCAGTTGTCACAGCATATGCTGCAGGCAATTTCCACTCTTAAACCACTGTCAACAACCGCTTGAAAATCCTGTGTAAGACTACAGCATCTCCATGTAAATTAACAATTCAAGGATTTAAATGGGATCTTAGTTTAAGTGTGAATTCATTTGTATAATTGCTAGGAAATCTGTGTGGTTTGTGTTACTCTTTTTGTTTCTTTTAAAACTGCCCTATGGTGTTTTTAACTTATTTAAACTCAAGATACGACTATTTTCAGCAAGAGTACTCTCCTTTCTTTTTCATTTCTGTTCAGTGTTTGAAGAGAACATTTTTTTCCCCCATATGGTATTTATTATACAATAAATGAGCATTACTATTTGCGGAGTTATTAGTAGAGATAGTGGGCACTTGTCCCAAGGAAGCTGCCTGCAGGGGAAAGAAGGGTGGAGTTGTGGCCATACCTTTCAGGTAAGATGATGTGGGGCCACTCTCTGCTGAGATAGTTTCAAACGAATTAGCTTCCTTTAAAGGAAGAATTGTGAATATCTGTGTGGACTAATTTCTTCTGCTTCTGGCTCAGGTCTCCCTGAGACAAGTGTACACAATGTAGCTTGTTAGCTATTCTGTTCCCCTACTGAAGAACATATAAAATAGGAAGAAAAATAAATAAATCAAGCTCATACCTAGCAAGTACTAGTTGGGAGACTTGTATATATTATTCATGATAGAAGGAAAGAGTTTGGAAGTTAGATATGCATAGTGTAACAGTCTTGAGCCTGGCAGAAATAATGGAGGCTCCCACTGATTTTGGAGAACTTAATTACATAGAATCACAGAATAGTTAGGGTTGGAAAGGACCTTAAGATCATCTAGTTCCAGCCCCCCTGCCTTGGGCAGGGACACCTCACACTAAACCATGCCACTCAAGGCTCTGTCCAGCCTGGCCTTGAACACTGACAGGGGTGGAGCGTTTACCACTTCTTTGTGCAACCTGTTCCAATGCCTCACCACCTGCACAGTAAAGAACTTCTTCCTTACATCTACTGTGAACTTCCTTTGTTTAAGTTTGAACCAATTACCCAATAAAGTTGAAGTTGGTTCCCCAAAATACTACTTTTTATGAAAATGGTGCTTGTTTTCAACAGATTCCTGTAAAATGCCCCAAATGCAGCTTTTTGACCTCTTGTTCTGCAAACTGAACTCCAATGGAAGGTCTTTCCTCTGAATACAGCCCCACATTTTTTTTTTTTAATCTGTAGAGGTAGTGAACACATTTGAAACACATACACTAAACACATTATCTTTTATGATGCATTTTTCCAGATAAAACATAATTTGGTTCCTAAAGAACTATTTTCAATATCCAGTAAACCCAGTTGTTTGGTTTATGTTTGGATTTTTTGGTTTTGGTTTGTTACGGGCTTTTTTCCACCTCAGCAGAATGGAGGGACATTGGTAATTGCATTTTGCTTTCTGACAGGTTCTTTTTTATTGACCTCAAGTTAAGGACAGAATGCAACTGTGTCAGCCCAGTCCAAGCATGTGATACAGTGTGAATTAAAGACTGGCTGCCAGCAGTCCACATGTCTTTCCCTTCTGCCTCTTAGTGGCAGAGAGGCTCAGGAGTTGAATCCTCTCTTCCTTACTGATGTCTGAACTTGTGTTCCTGTTCCCCCAGGAAGAGCTGAAGGCACATATTTTGAACCAGCCTGCAACAGGTGTAGGTATAAAGTGTACAGTGCGACAGGATAATGAGTCACGCTATCACATACACCCTTTTGCCTACTGGGAAGATGAATGGTATGCGTGAGAGTGCATATGCCTGCACACGTGGAAAATTCAGTGTCTCTCACTGGCTCAGGGAACAAACACAAAACAGATCATGACCTTGGCTGCCAGTGTCCTTACATTTATGTAGATCATCTGCAGTACGCGTATGCAGGCAACCTTTTCATATGTCCAGAGGAAGGAGATTAGAAATGGGCAACTCTACTTTCACTCTCCTGGGTTTATTTTGGAAGTTGTCCACCTGCAGTACTCTGTCACCATCTGGCAAGATCAGTTTTATTGTGAAGCCATGACTGTGGTGGTGCAATGAATGTCTCGCGGGATGTGTTTTACTTCTGGCCTGATATTAGACAATAGTTTCCCCTGAATGACATGTTATATTTAGAATCACTCTCTCACTGTTCAAACCCTGAGCAATCATTGTTGCAGTTGCTGTCTTTCTGGTGGACAAAAATAAAACTTAGATGAAATAAATTAACATTTTAAAGGCAACTAATGCTAAGTACTTTGAAAAGTAGTTATTAAGCCAGTAATCCTTACATGCATAGTATTATTCAAATCAACATGGTGAAATTAGAAGAAAAAATGCAAAAATTTTATAGATAGATAAAAGTAAGCATTCTTGGGAATTAAAATGCATAATTAAGAGAATTATAAATATTCATTAGTGGTACAGTTGATATTCCTTGCTTCGAAATCCTTAACTTGGTGATACTTGGTCTTCTAGCTTCCATACTAAAATATGGCAACTTACTGCAACACTTACTCATGAAGGGAAGTATACACTGCATTAAAGGGAAGCATACACTGCATTAAAGGGAAGCATTAAAACTGAGTTAGTCTTCTACTGGTTTTGTAGCAGCTGTATTTTGCTACCTATTTTTTTTAAAAACTTATTTTTATCAAATGAGTTAATCTAGTTCGTGCTCCATAAACAGATGATAGTTGCAGTTCTCATGGGATCATTCTGTTCTTTAGTTTTCAAGTTAGCAGAGACAAGGCAACTCTGCTCATCCACTGTATCTTTTCATATTTTTTTGTTTGTTTGCTTTTTAACTGGATGGTGGATGTTTCAAAAAAGAAGTTATTTGAAAAATAAGCTAAAGTGAAATTGCTATGTATGATAGTATGTGAATTGCTCTAAATGCTGGTATTTGTCATTGCTGTCTCTAAATCCTAGTTAAGGATTGAAAATTTAGTGATACATACTCAAGGCTCTGGTTTCCATATGTAGTGAAGATACCCAAAAGAAGCAGCAGCAGTGGAATTGTATGAAAACCCTGAGACTGTCACTATGCTGGATTTAAACAAATTCTGTTAATCCTGCACTAACCTGAGCTCTCCCATCATGCAAAAGAACTAAATCAAAGCAGAAAAAATAGCTTCAAGTAAGAGGTACCCTATATCCAAGGTAATACAGGATAGTGTTTACTAAAACATATTTCAAAAATATGGTTTTTAGAAATATATTTAATTATACTAAGAAAAATACATACTTAGCATACTTAAGAAAATATATCACATCCTTTCAGTTTTCTGTTTCAATTTGGTTATACCATGCTGAATTGCTGTGCAATGTCTTCAGAAAGGGCATTGAGAGTTTAGTACTGATTATTATATGGTGGTCTAGTAATTTACTGTAGGTAATTAGATGGCCCCAGCACGCGTATGTCTCTTTGTCTGTGGACCTCAAAAGTTTTTGATGTATTACTGTTATGAAACCTCTTGTGGAAGTATGATACTTCTAGCATTTTTTTACAGATCTGGAGATACACTCAGAGCAGCTAAATTACTGGCCAGGGTCCCTGTAGCAAGTCCTTAGCAGAGCAGAGGTAAAGGGCAGCTTTCTGTCAGGTCCAAAGGTACTGCATTCCTTAGCCACTGCCTTTCTCATGAATTAGTATCTGCATTCCTGCTGACCTCAGGGAAGACAGGAATGAAAAATCTAGTAATAACCAGCAGAGGCAGGATTCCACAGGGTAAGTTGATCTAGCTGCACATAGGTCCTAAAAGAGGATGTTTTTTTACTACTTTTATCCTGATCCTGGCTGTGCACAGTTTCTGCTTATTGTGCAATGGGTCTGGGGTTTGTTGGAACCTTTCTTGAGTTGTCTGAGCTCATTAATGTGGCAGAAAACATACCCAGACAAAATAAAAGCAGATTGTTTTCTGCCAAGAAGCTGAATTGACTCACTTACCATAATGAGTGCCAGAGCTGGTGCAAAAGCAGAGCTTTCCACAGCGAGGAGCATGGGAAAGGTTAAGAATAAGTAGGAAATGATGTGGAGGAGGCTAGGGACAGCATGAAATATTCAGCAACTGCAGCCTCTGAGATTGTCTCAGCTGCTCACAGACCTTCAGCCTCTGTATCATCAAATCAAATTATAGTTCCCTGTTGGGTAATTCTGGAGATATTAATGGCTACACTATTGTCATGAAGAGTGAACTATACTGCTTGTTTTTGAGAATAATACATGGCCCTTTTCAATTTTATGTCACAAAACTAATGTATCTGCCATAAAGCTGATGGCAGACTTCAGCTATACAGAGGTCTTCTGGAGATTCTTTATACTCTGATTATATCCTAACACAAAATGATGTTAGTTACCAGGAGCTGGAGGTCTTGGGGGACTGGTAGATAATGTATGAAGAACATCAGAGTGCCATGCTTGCTCAGCCATAAGGAAAAGCCTACGGGACATGTTACTGCTGCCTGTAGCTACCTAGTGGGAGGGTGTAGAGGAGATGCATCCAGTCTGTTCTCAGAGGTGCATGGTGACAGAAAAAGGAGGGAAGAGACACCACTAAAAAGTGATACTATTTAGATGTAAGAGGTGAAGGGATGGATAGAAATAAGCTTTTTTTTTTTTTCACTTTTTTTCACCCCCCAGTAAGAGTTGTCAAACAGTGGAGCAGATGTACAGAGAGTCTGTAAAATGTCCATCCTTCAGGGTACTCAAAATGCAGCTGGGCAAGGCCTGACCAACTTGCTGTAACTGAGCCTGCTTTGAACAGGATCTGGAACCAGCTGGCCTCCAGAGGTTCCTTCCAGCATACCTGATCCTGTGGTTCTGTGACTTTTTTTGAGAGTAAGCGTAACAAGCACTCAAGTACTGAGTATCTGTAAGTATGCCCTAGCTCTACTCCCTTTAACTCTATGACAAGTCTACCTAATGCTAGGTAGACTAATAGCCACATGCTTTCAGTTGCGCTCCATTTGAAATCTAAACAGAGACAAGTTGGAATATGAGACAGAGAGCATGAAGCTAATGCATCAGTGGATTAGAGCTCTCAAGAATCTCCAGCTGTGGTTAAATAGCCTCTTTTCTTTTCTTTGGAAGTACTGCATGCTGTTTCCATGTGACATGTCTCCAAGCAGAATCTGAAACAATAGAAATGCTTCAAGCAGGACTGCTGCCACTACCTGCACCGTTTCCAAATGCTCTAGCAATTGTGTATTGCTTCATAGTCTATAGTGGTTTAATAATGAAGTTCTAGGAGGCCATTCTATAGATTTTGAAGACAGCCCTGAGATCATGAAAGTCATTCACTGGTATCACCTTTGCCCCAAATGCCCAAATCAAAGATACCTCTGTGAGGCTGGGTGTTAGCAGTAGGGATGAATGGTATCATAGAACCCCTGAAAATTTTGAAAATACAAAAAAAGGCAGAGCCCTATGGGCATCCAGGGATACAGTGATTCTTCCATTTTAGAGACTGGAGGGCTAAGAAAGCATAGAATTTCACCTAACCTTCTAGCAAATTTGGCTACATTCTTATGCAGCAGCATGATACATGTGTGAAGGAATACACTGTCAGATAAAGGAGTATGTTAGAACGGCCTTCTGTAAATGCCTAAGTCACGTACTTTGCAAGTGGAACTGCTGATAACTGTGATGGTTACTTCCATACCTAGGTCATAAAGGACTCAGAAGTAATGCAAATGCCAACCTTAGATTTTAATGTATCAAGGAATTTGTTGCCAGAAGAGAACCATGGGACATGCCTTTGCTTCAGCTTTTAACTTTTGTGTTAGTTTTTAACACTGAGGAATGAGTAGAATTTGCTACTAGATTAATAGTTAAACAAATATAACCTACACAGATGGTTCCAAATAAAGGAATAAGACCTAGGAGCAAGGCTTGATACAGTAATTGGATACCCTAGACTTAAGAGTTGCTGCCAGATTAGAACTTTCCTCCTGTTTTTATGGCTCTAATATTTTTATGTATTTTTTAGTTTTCTAGCTAATTCCCTAAATGAAATAAGAGGATAGGTGTTTAAACAAAAACTCTGTAGTAAGGACTTGATATTTACAGTCCACTGCTTCTGCAGAAGATACTGAGTAGGTAAGAAGAGTCCAGCAAAGCCTGATTTATAGGTAGAGACCTTCTGGAGAGATTGGGTATTGGATGTTGTCCTATAAACCTTGTTCGGTATTGATGAGTCCTCCAGCAGTACCATAATATTTGGGAATATCTTCCACAAGAGATTATGAAAATACCCTGAATTTATTCTATAAATCTAGGGGTTCTGTATGTAGGGGGAGAAATTCTTTCTGACTGCAACTGGGGATAAATGGGCCATTATAATGAAAAGAAAAAAAATAAAAATAGAAGCATCTAGAAGTGCAGAAAAAGACTGGTCTTTGCAGAATCCAGGACGGATCAGCACAACTATCAGGACAGAAGAAGCATTCCTGCTGTGATGGAGTTCGGGTTCTAGAAAGAGGAGAATCCTGGACAGTCCTAGTCTTGATGCCAGAAGTAGCCTTGCCCTGTAGCTTTTCTTTTCTGAAGAGAGCAGTGTATTTTACTAAAAGGCTGGAACGATAGATGTAAAGTTTCAGTTGTGATTCTAAAGGATTCTGTGAGACTGAGTCCTGCAGAAAACCTAAAAGATTTTCTTCTTAGTAACCTTTTTTTTCTTTCTTTTTTTCTTTCTTTCATCAGTACTAGCTGATGTGGCAGGAGCAGCAAGCAGTTATGGGACCAAGCCAAGCCCTTGGACCTTCTTTTCTTCCCTTCAAGGCCTTGCTGTTATTGGTGAAGGGCTTTGAAGCTTGGCCCAGAACCTCCTGAAATGGCAACTGGATATTAAGAAATCAAAGTTCCTTAGACATCTTGTGCAAATGGTCAAGAACTGGGAGAAGTTGTGGAAATTGCTGAAGCGTGTCAATTACTGAGGTGAGTAGCTCGAGAGAGGACGCCTTCAACACCGGAGCGGGGGGAAGCTCAGCGTCCAGGAGCCCAAACTCAGAGCGGCAAGAGCCTCCCACCGAGGGAGCCTCAACTCCTCGACAGGACCTGCCCATGAGCCGGCAGCTCAGCTGACGAGAGCGAGCAGCTGACTCACAGGGGGCGGAGCCTGAAGCAGCGGCACCAGCCCTGACTGGGTGAAAACCTGCCACAGGGAGCGCGGCGATCAAGTGCGGCACTGCAGCTGGCGCGGCAGTTCGGGCAGGCAGAGCTAGCGGGATGGTGAGCACTTGCTTCATGACCAGAGCCCGGCCCGGTCTGGGAGCTCTGCTCTGGCTGCCCCGGCGGTGGCCAGCGTAGGCACCCAGACAGAGCTGATGAGAGGCGAGGCTGCAGTGCAGAGCTCGGAGTGTAGAGAGTGCCTGCGCCGGTCTTGTGAGGGGAGGGTGCACAATCGGCAGGGATGCAGTCGGTGCTCCATGGTGCAGGTCTTCCTGCAGCAGGTGACTGCGCTGCGGGACGCTGTCAATAGGCTGAAAGATGTCAGGGAAGCTGAGAGGAAGCAGGACTGCTTGCTCCAGGCCCAAACTGTGCTGAGGCCCTCAAGCGTCGTTTACTTCTTCCAGCAGTCTTCATCACGTCTGGCCGTCTTTGGAGCACGCGCAGTAGGTGCTTATACCAGCTTAATTGGTTCGTTAGGACCAGAGACAACAATCCTCCTGTCCTCCTGCTTACCAGTTAGTTTAACTGTAGCCCATCCTGGGCACCTGCCATTCCCAGATACTCCTTATCCCTGTGACCTGTTCTTCTAGACTGTTTTTCTTAAAACTATGTCAGCTATAATGATGTATCTTGTACAAGAATTCTCAGTATGTTCTCTAGCTGTAGTCTACGTTTTTTTTCTGTGTATCATGCACCTCAGTAATTTCCCATTGCTACTGTTACAAAGCCATTAAACTTAACATTACTTAAAACTGATTCTAGAGGTTTATATATTTCATTTTGTAATTTTGTGCTCCCCCTTGTCTCGCTCTTCAGGAACCTGCTTAGTAAGGTTCCATGGGAAATAGCCATAGAGGGCAGGGGGGCCCAAGACTGCTAGTTGGTATTCAAGGATCACCTGCTGCAAGGTCAGGAGTGTTGCCTCCCAAATAGAAGAAAGTGCAGCAGGAGGGCCAGGAGACCTCCTTGGATGGATAAGGAGCTGCTGAGGAAACTCAGAGGGGAAAAAGAGTCTTATAAAAGGTGGAAACAGGAACAGGTGGCCTGGGAAGAATACAGGAATGTTGTCTGGGAAGCTAGGGACCAGGTTAGAAAAGCTAAGACCCAGTTGGAATTAAGCTTGGCTAGGGATGTGAAAGGTAACAGGAAGGGATTTTATAGGTACATTGTGAAAAAAAAGACAGAATAGGGACAACGTGGGCCCTCTCTGGAAGCTATCAGGGTAACTGATTACCCTGGATTTGGAGAAGGCTGAGGTACTTAATGACTTCTTTGCCTCGGTCTTCACTGTCAAATGCTCTGACCCACCACCCAGGTCTTGGAAGGCAGATTCTGGGACTGCGAGAGTGAAGACCTTGGGTACACTGTAGGAGAGGATCTGGTCTGAGACCATCTTAAGAACTTGAACGTGCACAAGTCCATGGGTCCTGGTGAAATCCATCCCTGGGTCCTGAAGGAGCTGGCTAATGAAGTTGCTAAGCCACTGTCCATCATATTTGAAAAATCATGGCAGTCAGGTGAAGTTCTCGATGACTGGAAAAAGGGAAATATAACCCCCATTTTCAAGACGGGGAAAATGGATGACCCAGGGAACTACAGACCAGTCAGTCTCACCTCTGTGCCTGGCAAAATCTTGGAGCAGATTCTCCTGGAAGGCATGCGAAGGCACATAAAAAACATCAAGGTGCTTGGTGACAGCCAGCATGGCTTCACTAAGGGGAAATCCTGCCTGACCAATTTGGTGGCCTTCTATGATGGGGCTACAGAACTGATGGACAGGGGTAGAGAAGTTAACGTCATCTACCTGGACTTGTGCAAAGCATTCGCTGCTGTCATAGAATCATAGAATAGTTAGGGTTGGAAAGGACCTTAAGATCATCTAGTTCCACCCCCCCTGCCATGGGTAAGGGCACCTCACACTAAACCAGATTACCCAAGGCTCTGTCCAACCTAGCTTTGAATACCACCGGGGATGGAGCATTCATAATTTGGGCAACCCATTCCAGTCCCTCATCACCCTTACAGTAAAGAACTTCCTCCTTATAGCCAATCTAAGCTTCCCCTATTTAAGTTTTAGCCTGTTACCCCTTGTCCTATCACTACAGTCTCTAATGAGGAGTCCCTCCCTGTCATGCTGATGTCCCGCATGACGTCCTTGTCTCTAAATTGGAGGGACATCATTTTGATAGATGGACCACTTGGTGTATAAAGAACTGGCTGAATGGCCACATACAAAGAGTTGTGGTCAATGGCTCAATGTCCAGCTGGAGACCAGTAACGAGTGGTGTCCCTCAGGGATCGGTGTTGGGACCGGTCTTGTTCAACATCTTTGTTGCTGCCCTGGACAGTGGGATTGTGTGCACCCTCAGAAAGTTTGCCGATGACACCAAGCTGTGTGGTTCAGTTGATACGCTGGAGGGAAGGAATGCCATCCAGAGGGACCTCGATGTGCTTGCGAGGTGGGCTGATGCCAGCCTCATGAAGTTTAACCACGACAAGTACAAGATCCTACACCTGGGTCTGAGCAATCCCAGGCACAGCTACAGGTTGAGTGGAGAAGATATTCAGAGCAGCCCTGCGGAGGAGGACTTGAGGGTGTTGGTTGATGAGAAACTTGACATGATGGTTGATGAGAAACTTGAGCCGGCCTCAGTGTGTGCTCGCAGCCCAGAAAGCCAACCATATCCTGGGCTGCATCAAAAGGATTGTGACCAGCAGGTCAAAGGAGGTGATCCTGCCCCTCTACTCTGCTCTCATGAGACCTCACTTGGAGTGTTGTGTGCAGTTCTGGTGTCCTCAACATAAAAAGGACATGGAACTGTTGGAACAAGTCCAGAGGAGGGCCACGAGGATGATCAGGGGACTGGAGCACCTCCTGTATGAAGACAGAGTGAGAAAGTTGGGGCTGTTCAGCCTGGAGAAGAGAAGGCTGCGTTGAGATCTCATAGCAGCCTTCCAGTACCTGAAGGGGGCCTATAGGGAGGCACTGGAATGGGTTGCCCAAGAAAGTTGTGAATGCTCCATCCCTGGCAGTGTTCAAGGCCAGCTTGGACAGAGCCTTGCGTGGCATGGTTTAGTGTGAGATGTCCCTACCCATGGCAGGGGTTTTGGAACTTGATGATTTTGAGGTCTTTCCCAACCCTAACTATTCCATGATTCTAAGAGATGTCAAATGAGGAAGTCTCAGTTTCACCAATGTTTCCAGGGACCAGCATACGACAGAACTGATCCATAGTAACAGATGCTTTCTGATGCCAAGGACTGACACTGATGTGAAGTCATGCATCAGTAGCAGCTGTTCCTTAGGCTTGTACTCTCTATTTTGAAGTGTTCCAGGTTCAAAGGAATAGAGACAGACACATACTGCACAAGTTCCTTCCTGAGTCAGAAAACTCATTTGCTATGTAAGCTGGCAAATATAGTTCGCTGGGGACACTGAAGTGAGCACCAGCCTTTTTGAACTTCATAAAAAATGTCTTACTGTGTTTGATTTGGGAATTGAATTGCATTTGAAGTTAGTTTGGAAGATATTGCATATACTTATTTCAGGTATTGCCAAATTGGAAGCCCAGAGCAATGTTTATGGGGGAAAAACCCAACAATCCAGCTCTAAAAGGGAAAAAATCGGAATCAACTAAAGTAAACTACAAGAAAAAGACACAGAGGAAACTAAGCTATCAATAAAGCTATCAATGAAGCTGTCCAAGAGAAAAGTGCTTTTCAGCAGCAGGGAATAACTGAGGTTGTGAAGTTAAAAAGCCTGGCGAATATCCTGAGGAGAGTGTGAGAAAGTTGAAACATGTCTAGTAGATATGACATCAAAAAGCCCAATCACCCAAAGAGAAAGTGTATACATGGACTCATCTTCAAAGACTGAATTTGACATTTTTATAATTTGTTGTGTGCTTTCTGAGCATCTGCTGAGACTACACATCTCAAACGTTACTGGTGGCAGCTAGTCTAAAGAATGCACTTTCCTGGTGCAATGGTGGAGGACCGTGACATGCAGAAAAAAGAAAATCTCCCGTCTGAAACAGTGACCAGTTCTTCCTATTCTCGCTCTTCTCCTGGAAGGTGAGGATGAACTGCTCACCCCACAGTCCTGAGCCAGGAACAGGAACAGGAACCAGCCTGCTGCGGTCCAGGAAACCCAGGGTAATACCAGTATTAATATCTGCTTCTGTCAGAGCCAGCCAGATTACAGCCAAGCCTAAAGGGCAGGGTACTAGACCAGAGGCAAATGTAAAGGGTGTCTTTCCCTGAAGTGACCATAATGTAACATACACAGCATTGCAGACAACCAGAGTGTCAGATTTGCATTCTGGATTCTGAAGCACAGATACTTGTACAATAGATGTTTCTCACAGGCTTATATACAGTGTAAAGATGTGTCCACCTATGATACCAGTTATAGCTGTTTCAGTAGGTTATTATACAGTTCTGAACATGGTCAAATTATGTGAGTCTTGCATACCATACTGTCTGAATGGTTTTCCAACAGTAGGTTCCATTTTTCTTTAATGTACCTCAAAACATAGTTTCCTGCTCATGTTTAATGAAGTAAACTCCTGATAACTGCAGCATACACTATAGTCATTATTTCCTCCTCATATTTCAGGGCCTTTGACATTTCAGTCTGCCCAGCAATGGTTCGTTAACAGGATGTACTTACATATTCATATTTCAGCTGCTTGTTATTAACTTCTGTCTAATTCCAGTAATGCTCTGATCCATCATCAGAACAGCTTACTCATAAGCATTTGGTTCTGCCCAGGTTACAACACTGTTCTGCAGGAGAAGCAGCTCCTTAGGGGCTGAGCTGAGAGCTGGGGTGGAAACTGCTCCAGCTGCCTTGTTTGCGAGTCATCCCTGTAAGTACATTAACTTCTAGAAGCTGTGTTGATTCTTCCATGCAATTGAATAACATGATGATGATTGTGGAAGAGTGATTTCTCTGCATATACTCCTTGTTGAGGCTATTAGGACAAAGTATGATAGGGCACAAATAAAATCATAAGGCTAGACGTTCAGATGATGAACATCAGTGTGGCAGTGTTAAAGTTCATCTATTGCAGTAGAAAAATTACCTTTCTAATGACATTATAAGGTTCCTATTATTATAAGATAAATTCATAGCTGACTGTTCATTCTGTATGAGATTTTTTTTTTGTATAATAATACAAAGAAATTTAATTTCTAATTTTAGCCTCTTTTATACATTTATTTCTACCATATTTTTTGAGACAGGGAGTCAGCCTGAGGAAACATACTGCTCAGTTTGATTTCAGATACTATAGATGTAGTTTGTTCTTTCTGTTCTATGCAGAAATAGTTAATGACCAAGATAACTGCACAGTGAGTGCACCACAGCTGAATATTTCAAAATACTTCAGGAAAATTCTTGCTCCCCCTGCAGTCAAAGGAAGCTTTTGCAGTGAATTTAAAAAAGAAAGGAGATGTGCATTTCTGCTGTGGATGCCCTAAAAATGTGCTCGATGTTTATGTCTGTGTTTGCTTTGCTTTGGCTTGCCACTGCTTACTTAAGAAAGAAACTAGATTAACATTTTAACATCACATTATCTCTCAGATATCTCTGCTTACTATCTTTGTTTGCTGTACTTTTGTAAATAAGATAAACAGTGAGTAAACAGAAAAAACAACTTCCATGGTGCATTTTGTACAAAGTTCTCAGACGATTAATGGTGGAGCATGTGAGTCTGCTAAGACAAAAGAGGACAGGTGGTATTAAAAAATCTCAGATGCATTTTAAATGTAGGGAAGTACACTTCTAATTAATATTTTAAAGTACGATGTGAACTTTGAAAGTAAATGTTATTAACACTAAATAATTGTAATTGTTACTTTTGTAACATTTATATACATAAAAACAAATAAATACCTTTTTCATATAATAATAAAATATTAACACAATATCCATCAGAATAACATACCTTAATAAGTGGTTGAATGCCATAATTTTCATAGAATAACTTAGGTTGTGAGGGAACTCAGGTCATCCTGTTATGGTCTTCTAAGATTAAAACCCCCACTTTTTTCCACCTAGGGAAATGTTATGCTATTCCGTAAGTTCCCAGGGGATACAGCATCCAAATAAAAGTTTTTTTTTTCCATACCTTCTCCTGGAAGGACTGATTAATATTTTCTTTTTACCTCTTGCTCTTTAAAATCTTGTAATAATTGGCTGGTCTAAAACAAAGAACTTTTCTGTGGCTGAAATGCTAAGTTTTCCTCATGCATGTCAGCAGAATGTTTTACTGTTTATCATTTTGACAGCTGAGGCAGTGTATGTGAAACAGGTGATCCCAGATAAGAAAGCATATTTCTCATGACAGTTTACTGGGCAGGAAAGGAGAGATTTAGGATTTACATAACAGAACTAAGCACTGAACATTTCAAATGCTTCAAAGTGAATTCAGAGCCATATATTTCAGCAAATAAAGGAGAGATTTTTCCATCAAAATGGATTAACTCTGAGGTTTTATTTTTAGCTTGGAATATTAGCTTTTCTCCAGGCCAGTTCTAGAAAGTTTGAAGATCAGATTTATACTGTTACACAGAAAGTACCTCCTGAAAGAAACACCCTGCACACTACCTTTTGGCTTTGCAGAAAGCCCTCATCGGTTAAACTTTAAACAGCCAGCCTCCCAAAGAAACTTTTTCTGCAGTCACTCATTGAAGAAGGGGCTGTTGTGGAAGAAAGGTGAGAAACTATTTTGCCTGGATGTGTTGTGTACTTCTGCATGCAGAGTGGCTGGTGGGTTGATACTGTATTTGTTATGTGATCACTCTATCTCCTTTGATGACTTGAGGTCAGAGACTACCTTGTTTATAACAAATTTCAGTGAGCATGGGAAAATTCATTCTACAATTTTATGAGCAATGATCAGTTCATTCACCTCAGGAAGCAAAGAATAAGGAACTGCAATGTACTCTTCTGAAGAAGTAATTCAAGGGTGGAGTGTCCATTTCTTAGCAGATCTTATAAAATATTTCTTATCTCACTAATACAAATCTCAAAAGGCCCAAACTCTCATCTTTGTGCTTTTAAACATGAGCTATGCCACCTGCAACAGGCAAATCTAATAAGCTGTGGTTGTGGGCCTGAGGGCTGAAGATGTGAAAAAATCCAAACCAACCAACCCTAAAAGGATCGTTTTTCCAACCTGCAGATAAAGGAGCTTATCAAATTGTTTCACAACAATTTTTTTTTCTAGAGGAAAGGGCAAAGTTCCCTCTCCCCTGCATTACAGAGACACCCAGTGATCCTTATTTTAGGCTGGTGTTTATTGCATTAGCAAACATTTCAGCGTTTAAGAGGAAGATCCAACCTCTTAATCATAAGAAATTCAATTTACCAGTGAAATCAGCAAAGGGCATAACTTAGACACTTTGAGGTAGATCTTCTCCCTCTCCCTTTCCCTTTCTCTCTCTCCCCCTCTCTGTCTCTCTCCCTCTCCCCTTTCCTCTCCCTCTCCACTTCTGTCCTCCCATTTCATGAGACCGTATCCTACCAGTATAGATTGGATCAATGTGTAGCTGCCAGGGTTGTGAATCAGAGTGCTGGTAGGTTTTCCTCTTTCCTGGGCTTTTCCAAGAGATGTGTATTTGATGGGAAGTGCCCTTCAATTGCTATGCAGAGCTGGTCAGACCTGCTCAGTTCATCCCAGAGGTCGCATTGCTTGGCAGGAAAGCAAGCAACAGAATAGCTGAAGTTGTATCTCTCTCCTCTATTCTCTGCTTAGCCACAGCTGAAAGGCAACAAGGCTGTGACCAAGCACCTTCTGCTCTTTGGAAGACCTTATACTTCATGCTGGAGAAGTTGTGGGAGGTAGCTGGGGAGATATGGAGATATGGTCACTTCCAGTCTTTTCTTTAGAAGGATATAGCTGATTCAAACTCAGTTAAACTTCAGTTAAACAAAAAAAAAAAGTCCAACCCTTCAGGGTGGTCATCAGAGACCAGGTCTTCTGTTTAGACATCTGACCTTAGCAGTCATACTCTAGAGCTCCCCAGGGCTACCAGAGAATATTATGTACAATAAAACCACTTTCCTCTGCAGTCTAGACTCTGTGAGTGATAAGCAAACAACCTCCTTTTAGGGCAGGAAGCAACCTTAATCCTGAGTTTTGCCGTGGTATAATAATATGGGGTTCAAAGTACTGTGTTATAGTACATATCTAGATGGAAATTTCTGTGACCATTGACTGCATTATTTGCCACATATGGGTGAGTCAAGTGTGTTGTGAAATATTTCCTGGTTACTTGTAACAGTAAGTCCATAGCAGAATATGAATTATGCTGTGATGCCAAGTGCTCTTTATCTTATCACAGAATCTGGGTGTGTGCAATTGTTTTTACAAACTTCTATGATTTTATTTTCCCTTGACTGACTTAATATGAATGTCTCCTCAGCTTGACGGTGATACAGATGCTATAGGGGCACTGTAACTGTTAAATTACAATTTCTGTGTGTAAATAATGATGTAAGTAAAACTGAGCAGTTTGGTGTGATATGTGACAAAAAAAAATTAGAAATGGCGCAAATACTAAACAGCTCTAATTTCTGATGATTTAGTGAGTTCTTTCATAATAAATAGCCTTGTCAAGTCACTAAAGATGCCAACTAACACAAAACAAAAACTAAAAAAAATTAAAGGATAACACCCCAAACAACCAACTTTGCCTGACAGCACAGGCAAAGCATTTTTCAGCATTTCTAGAATGCTCAGAAAGATACAAACACTCCTTAATACTGACTTAAGAGTTAAACTTCTCGGTTTAGAGGGGCTATTCCTACCCTCCCTGGTTTCATAGTTGCTTTTTAAAAACAAGCAAACAAACAAACAAATAAAACCTCGTGTCATTCACATTGTCCTAGACTCTAAGTTTCCTACCTCTTTCTGGTTTTCAGAAATCTCTCTGCTTTTTTGGGATTCTTGATACCAGCATTCAACATTCTTCCAGTAATATCTTCTATTACGGAAATGTAATTACTTGGCCTGTGGCTGCCTTCTTTCGTTAGCTTTCTCTTAGTTTCCAGTTTTACTTAGTGGTTCCTGAAATCAGTTGAATTTGTTTGCCTTTTGTGTAACCAAATCCATGACATTGTCTTGTTTTCTTGAAAGTGTTGCATAAACTAGTACTCGCTATTAAGTGATTATATGAGTTGAGAAAATTAGTAATGTAATATTTACAGACCTCATTCAGAAACAGCGGATGTTGGCACTGTTGGCAATAAAACCCAAATTATCAAGTATCAAAAGCTACCTTGAGCAAAAAAGTCTTTATTTACCTTTTGTCTCCATTCTTCCCCTTTGTGGTTATTCTGTTACCTCTTTGTCTAGTTTCATAGCCAGCTTTTATCTATTGTGTTGTGCTTACAGCCACATATTTGTGTATTGTATTGATATATTTTCACACATCACTGTTATTCTATGTTGCAGTAGCAACAAACATTCACAGAGAAGTATTTGTTTTCTTTTGTACAAATTACTCTATTTTCTATTTATTTCCTTCTTCATATTTAGAGTCACAGACCAGGTGAGGCAGGAAGGCACCTGCAGAAATCATCTGGTCCAAACATCTGCTCAGAACAGAGTCAGCAAGAGCAGGTTGCTCAGAGCTGTGTACAGTTGCAGTTTGAGTATCTTCAAGGATGGAGACTCCACTGCCTCTCTGAGCAAGCTGTTCCTGTGCTGGATCACCTTCATGGTAAAAAAGTGTCTTGTATATCATGAAATTTCTCATATTTTAGTTTGTACCCATTACCTCTCATCCTGTCACTGGACAACACGGAGGAGAGCCTGGCTCTATCGTCTGTACTCTCCCCATCAGGTATTTACGCACATCGATAAATCCCACTGAGCCTTCTCTTCTCCCAGCTGAGCAGCCCCAGCTGTCTCTGCTTTTCCTCCAGATGTGCTCCAGATGTGTATCACCAGGGACGAGCAGAGGAGAAGCATCAGCTTTCTCAATCTGCTGGCAATGCTCTGCCTAATGCAGCACAAGATGATATTGGCCTTCCTTCTGCGGGGACACACTGGAGTCTCGTAATTGCATTTTTTTTTAAATATAAACTGGTGTACCTTATTCCTAAATCTTTTTACTTTTTCTGTCCCAGTCCTCTTGAATATGTATATGTATTGTCAGTAAATCCTCCAAGGGCTACGTCAAAACTACACTTTTAATTAACCCACTGAGTCCAACCTTTAAGCAGATGTATTTATTTTCAGAAATCACTCTAGATCCATTTTTCTGAAATTGTTTTCCTGTTAATGTAACTAAATAACCTTTTACCACCAGTTTTCCTTGCAAAATCTCAGTTTCAGCCTCCATCTGAAAAAGCTTCCTTGGTTCTCTGTAACTGTATAATTAATTGATTTAATGTTTTCCAGCCTCTTACCAGCAATACTCTCTTTCAAAAAATCAACTTGGCGACCCTTAATTTTCAGTCTGCTTTTCAGAAACTTGTCCATGCTACCATTTCTCCCTCTACCCCCCTCTGCTAGGTCTCACACCCCTGGATATTGTTTCTGCAGCAAACTGCAATGAGCATTGTTTCTTTGTTAGTTAAGCGACGATATGTCTGCAGTCGTTCCAGCCTGTCATATTTGCTGCTTTTCCTTTTTTTATTTGTTCATGGCACGGTTGCCCAGGAATACCTAACTCAAACAAAAGCACAGGTAGTGGTTTGTTAGCATCTGTTTTTATGTAAGTGCAGGAGGGTTTTCTATTATTATCTTGTTAAAAGTACTCAGCAGATCCACTGCTTTTTCTGTTGCCGCTTCCAGGTTTCCG